ACGGTTTGCAAATTAGAATAACACTAGTACTGTGGATAAGTTGGCCGGAACATTTTTGCTGAAAATGTTTTTCCCCAAAAAACACTTGGTTGAATTCTCAGAAAGGCGATATTTTCTGGTCAAGGGGCAGGGGTAGTCTAGCATTATTGGAATTAATTATGTGACTAGTATATGCTTTGCGGGTGGGATTTGTACATGCCTTATTCGGAAAAGATCTTTAGAAGTGAATGGAATCATCAAATTGTATGGTGTTCTATTTGCGCCAAATTAGCGTCGCGTCGTGCCATCGCCCCGACGGCACGACGCGACGGCACGACGGCACGACGCGACGAAATTAGCTTAGCATGAACTCAATAAGAAAGGAGGCGACGGCACGACGCGACGGCACGACGTCGTGCCGTCGCGTCGTGGCGTCAGAGCAACGGTACGACGCGACGCCAAAATGGCGGGAATAGAACACCATAACATTGTCATTTGTTAAACAACGGCTTTTGCAGGTCCTATGCAACCCATATGATGGGAGACGGACGGCGCACGACGGGCGACGCACGACGGACGACGGGCGACGGAAAAAGGCATGTTTGGAACTGGTAAATGGCAGAATTGGGACACAACAAAAAGCAAAATGCGACGGACGACGGGCGACGGCAGATATGGAATTCCATATTGGAGCCACCCTTGCACCACGACAGTACTTTATTACATGACTTTTCTAATCTTAATTTCTTAAGTACACCCCTTTTGTGCAATTTTCTACCCCTCGTAAATGTCTCAAAACGATTTGACATCTCATATTGAAAATGCACTGCACTCGAAAAGCCGAGGGCGCTGTTGCTTTGTCATGCAAGCTGGGGAAGACACTCGCCTGTCCACAGTGTGTCTGTTGAAACTGTGAACTTGAAATTTGCTCACTAGAGGCATTTCTTAAAGGGGTTACTCGTTGGCGTGTTGCCAACATATCCACACTGCCTGTAATGATCAGCACATAGCAGAAAATATATCGACAGCAAAAGTTATCAACGTTTTGCTCTTGAACACGGAAACGGACTACAGTACCCTTTACAAATGGCAAAACAAAAATTACAGATCGGGTTGAATATGATATGAAGATGTATGATGAAGTATTGCATTAGAAATTGCATTCCTTGCGTTCAAGTTTTAAAGTCGTGCAGATATTAGAAGTCTGCAGACAATCATTTTTTCTGGATGTCGACTCCATTTTACCCACTGATACTGTATCCCCGTGATAAATCATCTCTGGAAGATGATGTCGACGTTATCTTTTCATTCCACGATCAAGACCAAACAAATAACCTTATAACCACCCATTTAGAAATACAAAAGAAAGAAAGCAAATAAACTTACAATTTGGTTGCCTTTAAGAGCGCCGTTAATTGACCTGACGTAGCTCATGTCCATACCGCACTTACGGTTTCGTCCACTGCCATCTTGTTCCTGGCTAGAACCCATGTCATGCTTATTCAAGTCTGCCATAATCTCGAGAGTTGTACTGGTGAGGAGGCTAACTTTCGGGTCCCACGATTCCGCTGGTGTAAAAAAAAATCGATAACGTTTTAGCAGCATACAAGACCCACTATGATGCTATGAAATGTGCTTTTTCATAAGTTTTTCATAAGTGTTTTACTTTATAAAACTTCAATATTCTGAGATGCATTCATCGCAATTTCGTAATTTTTTTTAAATGCGTTGTTTGAAAACTTCGTTTTTAAAAGATACTTTTTAAACTTCATTCAACAAACTTAAAAATATGTATCTCCAAAAATGCACTTGGGGAAAAAAGCCATGTATCTCGCACAAGTTATTTTCCCCCAAAGACCCATGCTTCTGAAGAAATTCTCGTTAAAAAGGAGTTAAAAAATCGAACTTAGAAAAATTCTCAATAAAAAAAAACGAACTCGGTAAAACTATACTTCATTTTTTGACAATGTATATGCTTCATGACACGAGTAGGCTTTCATATGAGACCCCACGACGTGTTGTCAATTATGTCCTTTTGATCTTTGTTTAATTAATGAATAGAAAATTACCAATAGCATACAGTAAAGTAGGGTCACTCGTGTTTTCTAAATGAATAAACGGAAAACTGATTAGCAGTGACGGTAACTCCACTCTGACACCAGAATGCAAGGGGCCGTCAATTTTTTTTTCTGACATCATTTTCACGAGCGTACAAACCGTGCAAAACGTAATTGTCATGTTCGCTTCCAAAAACTAAAAAAGGGAAGAAAAGATGAAAACACATGCTTAACAGACATCATTATTTTCTTCTTATCCAAGAATGTTTGTTTTTGTACGCTTTAGAGGAGAGAGGATGTGATTCAGAAAAGAGTATTCCTCCTGAAAACGTTAAACAAAGGTGGCCCCGAATTGAAATTTCAGTGATTTCTGGGGCTTTTAAAAAGCGTCGCAAAAACAGTTCAACACCAAGTATTAGCCTAAGTTTATTACTGGCAACCTAACGGGCATATAGAAATGCAGCACATGTACTAATACCTTAGATACAGGTGATAGCCCCCAGATATGTATAAAGCATGCAGCTCCGAAGTAGGACGGCTCGACAAGCTCGTGGAACGCTTAAAATTAGGCCTATGGCTCGCACATAAGCTCATAGCCTACGTGTCATTGAAATGAAATATTTAACCAACACCGCCTAGAAATGCAGCCATTGTGAGTGTACTTTGTACCCACCATCCATTGGACTTGGGAAAAAATGCGTTATTGACCTTTTTTGCTTACGCCCTTAGCTTAAAGAGGCATACCACAGCAAATACCTACGAAACTTGGAAATAATGCATGGTCTAACAAAATTCTTATTATATACCTTTGTTGTTAGCGCACGGTTATGGGGGGGTTGCAAGATCGATTGATTGTGCAAAGATTGACTTACTACGACCGTACGGCGATCATTTTCATAATACATGTACCTCAGAAATTAGGCTTGTATATCTACTACGTGAAAATCTATCCCGTTATTAAGGATAGTTTTCACACCTTGGCCTCAGCAGACGACTGGGCTGGGCGGACAGTGTCCAAACGGACGACTTGTCTCTCCCTTTTACGAATGGACGGTCGAGTTGTCTCAATGGTCCAGTTTTTCCGAAGTCGAGTTGGCAAACGGTTGAGTTGTCCGGACCCCTTCATTTTGCGGCTGTTGTTGGAAACAACTTGGCTGTGTGATTATGTACAAAGTGAGGAGTTGCATTGATTTCGCTGAGGCCTACCATGTGCAGCGACCAAAATACAACGAGTGAAAGGCGATTACAATCATTAGGGCTAGACATTTTAATCAACACAAACAGAAATGGGGAAGGGGGCATTTATTGCCAAAGCAAAATGACCGACAAAAAATACACCTTGATGCCTACCAAATCATAAGGCAAATTTTGGAAATCCACTATGAAGTTGTGAGTTTTTGATCAATAGTAGTTTGCTTTTTTCAGGTAGTATCAAGACCCCTATAAAATTTCCACAGACCTAGTACCCAGTGGCATATAGGCAAGTAGATCAAAGAGCAAATGATCTTCTGGAGCTAACTTAACGGTCTCTGGGCTTCGGGGGGCATGGGCATGCCTTCGAGGGGCATCAACATGGAATTTCTTTACTAAAAATGACTACCCAAATATTTTCATCCGACCTTTAAATTTGCTCATGTGTTCTCTGTCGTTATCCATTAAGTGCAGTAAAACTAATAAATTTGAAATTCTAAAAATTAAAACAAGTGAAACATTTGGTGACAAATACTTGCTTCATTTCTCACAAAAATACTGATGCCATAGGTTCGGTAAGTTGAGTTAAGCTTTAGTTATCGGGCGGCTTAAAATCTGGCAACTAGACATACCGCCCTCTCTTGTTCCAAATTTGCCAATGGGTGTTTGAAACCCAAACGTCTGCAACGTAAATGGAAAGTCAACTGAAAAGTCGGCAGGGACCTGCAGAAAGCGCACCGCCCAGCATATAGCTCTAGCATAATGTTGACGGACGTACGAGAAAAGAATCTGACGCGACATAACAATTTTGTTTTTGATAAGGCCTAACAATTATTTAACAATGAAGATGTGGATACTCGGAAGGCTTTTACTAGCCTTAGCAGTAATAGAATGGCCTGGAGGTGCTGCTTTAGACCTCGACTTATCTGAATTGTCAAACATGTCAAAAGAACGGTATCGAGTGCGACGGTCAGACATAGACACGCTTATGTCAGAATCAGATGGCCCAAGTCGTGTGGAGAACGAAGAGACGCGCAGTGATGTGTATCAGCCAACACCAGAACAGATAAACGGGACCGGGTAAATTCAGGTTTTTGTTTTCGGTTCTTTTCGAAATTCAGCTTTGAGCGCAGATGTTGAGTAAGAGTTCCATAATCAGGTCGGGGACCAAACCACAATCTAGCGATGACACAAGACTATGCATAGGCCGCTCGTTTGTGCAACGATGACGTAATTATTGAACTATTTTCAGATCACGGTTCGCAGATGACATCATAGACTCCTCCAGGTCTGTGATGACATCGATCTTTTTATCGGCCCAAAACTTCAAAACCAATTCCTCTGATTGATCAAATTTACAGGGAACATAATACCCAAGATCTAAATGAAACTTTCCTTTCATTTGGTATATGTATCTATAAAAGCGGATCGAGGAGATTTTTTGGTCGAATCTTGCATTGGTAGGCAGGCGAGTCCAACTCTGCCGATGAAAATGTTTTCGCAAAAAAAATGAAGCTTTGCTGAAGTTTACTTTATGCATGAAAATGTTGCCATTAAAAATCTCCATCGATTTACCGTGTCAAATTTTATGTTTATTGTGGCGATTTTCCAAAGTAGCGATTGGACACATTTTTGCCATGTTGGCTGCCGGCATTTCAAATCTAATTTTTTTCCCAAAATCAAGTGGGAAAATAACATCATTATCACGTGACCTGATAAAAATGACGTCATTGCCGCTTGAACAAGCGACATAAGCAGAAACCGGGGATGTCGCTAGATTGTGGTTTGGTCCCCGACCTGATAATGGGAGCGGGACGAATGTCAGCCCCCACAGTTCTGGGGGTATTCCATATGTATGCCCACAGACACCAGGCTTGCTCGGTATTCCCATTTTCTTCATATCTTTGGGAGCTGTTTCTAACTCGGAATTACGATTCTTAGCTGGATCCGGAACCGGCTCTGAGAATTCTGGAGCCACCCAAGCCTTACAGTCATGACAGTGACCAACCTTAATATGTTAGCCATCAGAAATCAAAACCATGTCCAGAAAATTCAATTAAATTAACCCCTTTTTTCTTCCCAAAAGCCGACTCCAAAAATTCCAGCCTGGCTTGGCCACGAAGGCCACCTGCCAAACCACAAATTCTCGGTTTGTGGCCCTGCGTGCTCTGCACGCTTTGATTTACACAGTGAAAAGGCTGATTGTTCAGTGGCATGCGGCTCTACTCACCCTTCCACATTCCCGTTGCCTCATTTCAAAGTGGGGACTATTGTGAAGCTGGTGATTATGATGCAAAATCTGTCTTTTCTTTTCTGGGGTACGCACAAATACCATTACCATATATACAAGAGCCAGGGTGTGCCTTCTTTCACCGTGTTCACTCGAGCGTGGGCCGAGAATAATAGCTGAAAAGCGGGCTGAGGATCTAAATTTTTACGGCGGCTATAGCTGCCTCTCGCCGCGAAGGGGTTAAGGAGGGGAAAAAAATTGTTTGCTTGAAAAACACTTAGAATTTGTCAGACTAATCTCATAGGGTTTGTGTACACACTACACAGGGTGTCAAGTGGCATCCATATATGGAACTCTTTCCTTTTTCACCTCCATTTGAAATGTTTAGTGCGTGGAATGGAGGAGTTAAGAAAAAAATCCAACCAGTGAAGATTTGTCGGATGGCTGAAGATTTGGGCGATGGTATTTAGCGTCAACAAAGCATCAACAAGTTTTTGAAGCATAATTATAACAAAGTCTATATTTGTGCTATTATTTTATGCTGTTATTTTAATCATGTACATGTCATATTACATGTACCATATATCTGAAATGTTATTTGAATGTGCAAATTTGAGTGACAAAGTCAGGCCTGCCCGTGCAGCCCGACTGTCCACCATCTTGTGTCGCGTAAATGGCAGAGAAAAGAATGGCGGTGGCCCTCATACATCACATAAAAAGAAGACGGCGGCCGGTCGGGCTGAACGAGCAGGTCTGACTTTGTCGCTCAATTTTCAACACACAAACATACACGTTAATCAACCTAAAAGAAGACAGAACAAAACAACACTACCAAATAGGCCAGTCATTCAGCTATTATAAGGCCTGGATGTCATTTTTAGTTGGCAGACATGAAAGAGTGATGTTGTGATTGATGTGAGGACACTGGGCTTCGCTCTGCACTGTAGCCGTTTTTAGGAGGTTCGTGTTGAAGAAGTGTGCATGTAATTAATCTTGTAGGTATGGTAATGACACTACCCCAACGGAAGTCCCCCAGCACCTGACCAAGGCAGGTGCGGTGAGGACCACCACGGTAGACAGCCAGCTACCCGCTCAAGACTCGGCTGATGAAGAGCACTCAAGCAGTCTAGCTTTGTTCTTCATTCTGCTCATCCTAGGTAGGAACACGGAGTGACATCTTAGTCTTGCAGCATGAATGAGCACCACAAGTATGCAGTTTGTGCTCATTTGGATGAAAATTAGTCATGTGTATGCAAAGTTAGTTCATTGGAATGCTCTTCGTGCAGTGCACAGCCATAGATCCTGTCACATGTTGTGCTCATGTTATTGAAAAGTTGGCATATATGGTACAAAAACTACTGCAAACTGCTTGCTTGCCACAGTGACCTAAAATACAAATGGCCTGACCCTTTATCCAGCCGCCAGCTTTTTCACCCTTTCCTTTTGTCCCTCTGCATTTGTCGACGCTTGTTTGATTTCTGTCTTGCTTGTTAGTCTCTGTTCAGTTGCCATTTTGCCTTTGTGACAGATTCTGCTAGGATCAAAATGTCAGCCCCTCCTACTTTTTTGGACAATTAGTCATACATGTATATTTGAAATAGTGCTTCAAAATGCTGTGCATACAATGCATATCTGGCACCAGTGTGTCACTGTGGTGTGTTCATCTCACCAGAGCACTTGTTAAAGAGTCCAAGGCTTTGCCGTTTTGCTTTTAGCAATGGAAGATCCCCTTGCTCAACAGTGCACAAAGTTTCTTTAATAGACTGAGATGTGGCTCTTCCATGGGTAAATTCGCTTGTGTCTTTTCCCTAAATGATGAATTTCTATTATCCCCTCTTCACAGCTCTGTGTATTATATTAGTCCATCTGCTGATTAAATTCAAGTTCCATTACTTGCCGGAGAGCATAGCCGTGGTGGTCCTGGGTGTGGTGATTGGCCTGATATCGTTGCTGACCAAGAATGCCAAGAATGCGGAGTATAAACTCACGGTAGGCACCAGGATGCACAGATTCAGGCTAGGCTTGGGCCTGGTTACGTTTGGAGAGGAGCTGAAATCTTATTTTGAAGTTAGAAATTCTTGACGTTATTTCACCCTCCTCATTGCTCGGCCTGGAAAGTGTTGGTCGGAAAGGTCTTGTGCTAATCAAACACAAAGTGGACATGCAAAAGTACAGATTGCAAGACATTTGGCGAGGTGTCTTTGCTTAGCAGATAATTTAGCATATTTATCAATATTGCCCGTTGATAGAGAGAGGCAGTTACGGTAAAGTAGGCTACCATGATGTTATTTGGGTTGGAACCCACATCCTGCTGGGTTAGTGCTGGCCATTTTGAAGAGCACCTCTACTTGCATTGTTTGGCATGCACGAGGGTTTATCCACTATGAACACAGGGCGAGGGTTCCCCTTGTTTTTTCTGTTTTCTCCGCATGACGCAATCTACATTCAGAATTTGCATCTTGGCATGAACAGAAAAAAATCTTTTTTAACTTGTTATAGTTGAGCTCTGAAGACGAATGACTCTGCGTTCGATTTGGATGCTTCCATATTTATTTGAACAGATAAAATCAGAGAAAACATGTTTTCCTTCGAGGTGCTCTTTAAATGCTTCAATTGGTCTGGATTCCTACTTTTTGTTGGATTTTCTGGAACATTTTCCCAGTCACAGATAAGTCGAAGCATTTTGTTCCAAGCATCGGAGTGTTGAGGTTTGTGAGGAATTCTCCTGATTTCTTTTATTTTTCATCAGGATTTTGTTGATTTCAGGATTGTTCAAATAACCTCTTTTGAAATCTGGAAATCCTGAGTTTACAATTAGGGTGCTTTTACGTACAAAAGTTAACCCAGAACACAATAAATTGGGTTTTTAAGGGATGTCTTCAGGCAGACATGAGTGTATACGAAAGACCCTATGTTGTTGTAGGGCCCTCAAATCTACTGTTGATTATTTTGTTGATTTCAGGATTGTTCAAACAACCTCTTTTAAAATCTGGAAATCCCGAGTTTACAATTAAGGGTTTTTAAGGGATGCCTTCAGGCAGACCCTATGCTGCTGAAGGGCCCGCAAATCTTCTGTTGATTATTTTGTGGATTTTTCATTTTCTTCCAACCTCACCCCTGGAGAATGTTCTCCTTACTGGTGGCTTCTCATTACGTAACAGAAGAATTAGATGTATAATGGACAACAGACAGAATGTTTATAACGCAGTTTGCAAAGCACTGGTGGTACCTTCTGGAGGTTAGAGGTTCACATCCTGTCATAGTCATTTTTGTTTAATTTGATTGTTGTTTGTTTGTCGTTCTGCAGGACTACGAGATGATGGATCCCACCATGTTCTTTCTTATCCTTCTCCCTCCAATCATCTTTGAGTCGGGCTACTCGTTGCACAAGGTGAGAGCAGGGGATCGCTCAATATTGAGCTACACCCATAACCAGCAATATTCAACTTCGACAAATTCACAAAATTAATTCGTTTCACGTTTTACTCACCAATTTTTTTCATAACCCATGAATAACGAATGGAATTAAATTGAGCAAAGCATTTGACATGAACTCTCTTTTTTTACATGTGGAATGAACTATTTCATAATTTTTCCCTCTGTAGGGTAATTTTTTCCAGAATATTGGCTCCATCATGGTGTTTGCCATTTTTGGGACAGTCATATCAGCCAGCGTGGTTGGAGGAGGCATCTATCTACTTGGTCAGGTATGTAAGGAACTTGTTTGTTCATGACTACATACACCACAGAGCATGGACCGACAAGGCCCCTGAAGTCAATGTCTGAAGAAGTCCAGATATAAAGAAATGTGCTTAGATTTTCCATCTTGCCTTCAAAGTCCTTGTGTCTCATGAAAAAAGTCTGTATCTCCATTTATTTGTAACTCCTTGCAGTTGAAATGAGTCAATTTTCAGGTCGCTTGAGAATACCACTTAAGCAGAATAGGCCAATGGTGAATGTCTTTGTCATAGTTGGTTTTAATCGCTGGTGACTTTATTTGAACTGCATAATGTGTGATAGACCCGTGATGGACTTGTGGTAAACTTGTTCAAATATACGATTGGGAAATTATGAGGAGTTTTTATGGATTTGTAAATTGGAATGACTTATCATGACTTGAAGGGACTTGTGATTGCTTGTGGTATTTTTAAGATGACTTGTAAAAACTTGAGATGACTTGTGATTGCTTTTGATGATTTTAGATTGCTTATGATCACTTGTGATTGCTTGTGATGACTTGTGATTGCTTATGATGACTTTGGATTGCTTATGGTGACGTGAGATTGGTTATGATGACTTGTGATTGCTTATGATGACTTATAAGTTCTTATGATGACTTGTGATTGCTTGTAATGGTGTGTGATTGCTTGTAATGGTGTATGATTGCATATGATGACTTGGGATTGCTTATGATGACTTGGGATTGCTTGTGATGACTTGTGATTGCTTATTATGACATGTGATTGCTTATGATGACTTGTAATTGCTTGTGATGACTTGTGATTGCCTGTGTTGACTGTTGATTATTTACTGTGACTTCAATTAATTGTATGACTTGTGATTGCATGTTACATCCTCTAAAGATTTGCTCACAAGTCAGGGCCATGAAACCTCAGTGTGATGTTACATTTGCATTTTCAGGCTTCCGTAGCCTACAAATTGGACTTGGTTGAGAGCTTTGCCTTTGGCTCCTTGATCTCAGCAGTTGACCCTGTTGCAACGTTGGCTATTTTCTCCGCCATCGATGTCCATCCACTGCTTAACATGTTGGTCTTCGGCGAGAGCATACTGAATGATGCTGTCTCCATTGTCATGTCAGAGTGAGGATGTATTCCAATAAAATGGTTATGCCAATGAAACCAGCGGGGCTGAGTGTTCTTTTGCTCACTAATTTTCGTTTGAATGTGTACAAACCTTGGCGGATTGGGCTTCATACACAGAAATATAGCCAAGTGTGGGCACATGGCAGCTACTGTATTCAGTTGTCGTTTTGCTTCCTTTTCTCCTCACTGAGTGAGTACTTGAGTACCAAGTTCATAAATTGGCAGTGAAGATCTTCAATTTATGTATTTGTTAGAGTGGTTTGGACAGAGTCTGTAGGGAATAGAAAAAATTTATTCAATTTCGACTCTATTAGTAGTTATCTGTTAGGAGCCCTACTCACGTCCACTGCAGTTCAGGCATTTGTTGTAACTCCAGGGTATTGAACCCTATGCAAGGCAATAATGACTGGACATGACCTTCTTTAGTCCTGCAAAATCCTTCCAAACTTTTCTTGATCTTTGAGAATTTTTTGAGGCTTATACTTACAGATCTCATCTTTTTCCTTCTTCAGCACCGTCATCATGCTGAATTCCAAGGAAATGGCCAACGTAACCTCCGGTGAGGCCTTTGGCTATGCTGTGGGCTCGTTCTGCCTGATGTTCTCTGCGTCGGCTGCCATCGGAACTATCATTGGTCTCATCAGTGCCTTGATATCCTTTTGGAGAGGAGATCAGTGTAAATTTGGTGTTTGTACATGCCTGTGTCATTGTCAAGGCCTGGTATATTCAGTGTAGATTGGGTGTTAACTTGGTGTTAGCTAGTTGCTGTGCGGGGATCTGAATCCTTGTTTTTTCTTAAATAAACCTGTGGTATTGTTTGCATGGAGATCAGTGTAGATCCAGGCATGCAGTCTGATTACAAGGCTAAAAGTGTGGCTTTTACTTGGTGTAAACTTAGTGTTGACTCTGTGTTATGAATTATTTGCATCGATCTCTATTCAGAGGAACTTGCCAGCTGGTGTGATGTTATCTCAGTGTTCTCAGTATTTCTGGAGTAGTGTATATCTGTTATTTGTTCAGTGTTAATCAGATGACATTTGCAGCAACAGGAAAGTACGAAGCTGCTCTGGGATATTTCAAGCCCCAACATTTTGAAAGTTTGTGTACAATGTTGAACCATGCTGTGTTTTGTGTAATATGACGAGATGTAGTCATGCTAGTTTGATGTGATAGAAGTTTGTCTTTGTTATGGCAAATTGTGTTTCTGTTATACATGTCTAAAATGCTGGCATGACCTTCTACCTTTGACCTTGACTCATCCATACCTCCTGAAGCATATTGACCTTCGGAAGACCCCTTCCTTGGAGTTTGGCTTCATGCTCATCTTCTCCTACTTGCCATATGTTCTCTCGGAGGGACTTAAACTCTCTGGTAAGGCCCTGACTCTGTACCACCTAACCCTTTTCACAGAGCATACCGGGCATCCCCTTGCGTTCTTACTCGGTCTGAGGCTTGGCCATAAACACAGTTATGCATCTTGCTGTGAAGATTGATCTGCACCCTCCTCGAAAGCAAGCATGAATGAGGTTTTGATGGGATAAAGTATTCACATCATTTTCCAGAGCTGAAATGTGTTCAGCTCTTGCAAACGGTTTGACTACCCATATTGGTCTTCACTTTCTCAGTGTGAACTGGGCCAAATTTCATGGCGTTGTTTAACTGTTTATAGCAGACATGTTGTACTTGCTGTAGCATAACATGAAAACTGTAAGCACTGTTCCAAAGGGGTCTCTTATTCACTCGGCTTGTGTCCAAATCAAGTGGCTACAGCTTAGAATACAATAATCATCTATGTGGAAGTGGATGCAGCCACTAAGCCAGTGGTCTCCATGGACACAAGTGCTACGCCTAGCCACAGCTGCAAGTGTTGAACACGGCGGTTGGATACTGCCGTACCAGTACAATTTCCGTGCATCTTTCTTGCCGTACTAAATTTCAAAAAATCAATTCTAGCAATGCTGCTTAAATGGAGATTTCTTTCTCTTCCCCTGGACAGGCATCATGGCTATTCTGTTCTGCGGTATCGCCATGTCTCACTACACCCACCACAACCTATCTCCTGTCACGCAGATTAACGTTCAGCAGACGTTCCGCACACTGGCCTTCATGGCAGGTATGCCAGTGGACGAAATCGAAATTGTTTGTGGTTTCAAAAAACTTAAGAAAGAAGCATTTGCAAGATTTTGCTTCACTTCAGCCTCAAAAAACAAAACAAAACTACAGTTCCAAGATAGTTGCTGCAAAAATTTGAGCAAATATTTGAGCATAAACCGTACCAAAACACTTAGATATTTGCCATGGATACGGCCACCTTGGGCCCACCAATTTATTGGCCGGTGCACTGCTCAAAGTTTGTCAATTTTTTTTGTATCCATTTTGATTTGACCAGAAACTTTTCAGGGTAGTTTTGAAGATGTTTTTCTTACACTTTTCAGAGACCTGTGTGTTTGTGTATCTGGGACTTGCCATTCCAACTTTCAATCACGATTTCCAGCCAGCTTTTATCATTTGGACATTGGTAAGTGTCTGCTTTGGAAAGGGGAAAAACCTGAGCACAGTCCCACTTGTGTCTGAAAGTGGAAAAGGAGGCCTCATGGTAAAGCCTGAATTTGACGCTAGTTGGGCACAGACTTTAATTGGGTGCTCTTAGCTTGCCATGAGTAGAAGTACACCGACTCCACACCAGGAAAGTAAACAGGGATTAGCACAGTTTCCTTGTAAAGTGGAGTGTTTTCTAAGCATAAACTTTACCAGATTAGTTTCTGAATATTTCAACTTGCTTTTACTTCTCTGAGAATATAAATAACATTCAAGCAGATGCAAATTATGAACATGTATGTGTATCTCTTTGATTTTGACTAAAATGAAACATCTATTTTTCCATTTTTTTTTTCAATTCAAGATCCTGATTTTGATAGGCAGGGCGTTCAACATCTTTCCACTGTCATTTCTCTGCAACAAGTTCCGAGAACATAAGATAACAATGAAAATGCAGCTGGTCATGTGGTTCAGCGGTAAGTAAGCTGGAGTGATTGAAAAGGAAATGTTTGATTCGTAATTTTGAAACAAAAAAACAAATATATTGTCATCATCGTTGTACATTTGTTCGTTCTCATTGGCATAACAACATAACGGTGTCCAAAAATTGCCCAGTTATCCGTTCGGCTGAAACCCTGGTAACTTTATGTCTCTGCTGTAACCAGGGTTGCGGGGAGCCATCGCCTATGCCTTGAGTCTCCATTTAATGTTTGGTAACCGGACCAGACACGTGCTGGTAACCACAACCCTCATCGTTGTGCTGTTTACAGTGGTCTTCATTGGGGGTCTCACCATGCCCGTATTAAAGGTAGAAACATTTCCTCTGGAATTTTCATTGACTAAGATTTTCTGGCTCTTTGTCTCGGAGCTGTCAGTATCTGCCTCGTGCAGAAGGCCCCCCTCATCAGTTGAACGGAGCCGCGTTGGTCAGGAGTGTTCATTTTGTTGGTAGCGATGTAACTGCAATGCTTGCATCTCCTAGTCGTTTGTGAACTAGCGACGCGCAGTTAGTACCAAAGGAGCCTCCGTTGCTAAATAACACCCCCTCTTGGTCCGGCTCGAGGTCCATCGTAGGAAAGAATGGATAGCGTGTCAAGGCAGAGGGACAGAAGTCACAAAATGCCATCTTGGATGCCTAAATGTGCTGACACACTTAATAAAGTCTCACTAGGAGATTTAAAATCTTAATCACAGTGGGCTTTGGCCTCAGGACTGTACAGGTCATTTCATGCAGATTCAGTTTACTTTCATTTACGTCGGTTATTTCCAAGAAAATTCCTGTATATCTGACCCTGAATCACTCATTTATCACTGGATGCTGCTCGAAAATGTGGAGAAATCCAAACATTATAAAGTGGGCTATGCGGCTCTGAATTTGGTGGGAGCCATCTTTGGATGCCCAAGAATTTGAGCCACGGAGGCCTCATTTGTTTGTGCTGAGCAGTCCGGACACCACACTACCCAGTCATTATAGCACAGATGCCAACTTGTACGATTTAGGCGTAATTTTTACGATATGTTTAGTCCGTTTACGAGTGTACAAACCAGACTAAGATTTTTACGATTTCCAACTCAAAGGTAAAAAAACCATACAGTTGTGTATAAACTCTACGTAAGCTAGCATGGAGCCGGCCTTGTAAAGCACTCGTCAGAAATGTGTTGCTGGCATCCCGCAGTTTGTGCATACAAGCTGCGTGAGTAGCAGTAGAAACCAGTGTGGTTGAATCATCCGTTCGCCCCAATTAACGCAGTGATGAACAGGGGGTGAATAGGCAGGATTGCGCTTCATATGCAACATGATTGTGTACAACCATGCATTGTACATGTACCGATATCGTACACATGTGTGTCGAACATCGTGATCATGCTAAAGTTGACCAGAATGGAGGACTTTCAAGGATTTGATTCTTGGATATTTGGTGAGCAACTGGACTTGTTTTGCTCAGTGGCAACAAGTGAGCAGAAGTTCAAGGACGAATACAAATGGGCCTTTATTGCAAAGTCTTGTCATGGAGAAGCTGACGTGTTTTGCAACGCATGTAACTGTGACAGGATAAATATTGCTGTTATAGAGATTAGTTGTAGACTTAAATACAAGATCAAGACATTGAGAGAAATTAGTAATCACAGGTCTCTTGGCTAGTCCACCCTTACTTGATTCTGACCGGAGTTCGTTGTCTGTTTCCTTGGTGGTCTGAGTTCGTTGTCTGTTTCCTTGGTGGTCATATCTCTCAGCACACCCTCCCTCCCACTCTCTCATTTCACAGCTCATTGGACCAGAGTCAGGCAAACCCAAGAAGGAAGTCACACTGAGCAAAACAGAAGACTTGGTGAGTTCCCAAATGATGGTTACAGTGAAAAAATACAAGTGTGTTTCCTAAATGTGTAGCATTTTGTTCCCATGTGGTGTTGTCCTGTACCGTTCAGAAGACTGTTGAAATTAGTGGGAACATCTGGAGCTTGCTGGGTGCCGTTATTGTCATAAGTAACGACGGTGACCGACATCTTACATGACAACAGGAAAATGGCCCCGTAGCTTTTGACATTTCATTGACTGCTGTGTACAGTGATGGTTATCTGTTCCCTGCTGTCTGACTAAGGTCTGCCTTACAGCAGACTTTCAGCAGTACGTTTGTGGTCGTATGTGGCAGCAGGTGAAATGAGTCTATGAGAGGACCATGCGTCAGTTCAGTGGGGGACACTTGGTCGAAATCGCTGGCTCCACAAATGAGACACGTTGAGGCAATTTCTAGACCAAAGGATTATTACTTTCTCGTGCTCTGCTTGTAGGGAAGCGCTGTTGACACTGAGCACCTGTCTGAGCTGACGGAGGAAGAATACGAGGTCAACTACGTCAAACCCCACCTGACGGGCTTCGTCAGGTGGGACACCAAGTACTTTGTGCCGTTCTTCACCCGACGACTGACAAACAAGGTGAGAGAGTGGTTTTTTGAAAGGGTCACAGTTTGGTCGTAGCCTGAGACCTGCAGGCGCAAGCACCCAGCCCAGCCGAGAGCAACAGAAAGGCTGGGCAGACCGCCTGGATTCTGCCTCCACAGGTATGAATATGGAAATAGCAGTGGCATAATGGGTACAGGATTGCAAACTCACTTTTTGAGCAAGAAACTCGTGCGTTTCATACTCTCACACCCATGTGGCATTTCTTATGCTCAGAAAGCTGAACTAAATTAGAAAAAAAATTAAAACAAGAAATTTGCTAAAAACTGATTGTTGCGTCTCTACTATTAAAAGTAATCAAAACACAAATGTTGTCTGTCTGGTAAAGAATGATCAGTTTGATTGGCTGTCACTGCACCCGATGAAAAATTAAAGCTTAAAGAGGCAAAAGCTCTACCTTGGGATCCCCACCTCCGTTCCCACCCCCCCATCCTTCCAGCTGTTCTCCCCGCCCCATTTTTCACTCTCAGCTCTCTCTCGTATTTGGCAGCCCTGCGATAAAGTACTTCTTTTCTGTAGTGCATGGAATGCCATCTGTCAACTAACAAGTGTCCAAAAATGTTGCCACCAGTTGTCAACCCAAGGGGAAATAGTTACCCGGGTGACAGTACTTCTTGTGCTTGGAGCCATTAAACAGTGCAACTTTTCTTCAATTTTGTATGTAAACCTTATCTTTAACCTTTGTTAGAGGCTGGAAAATCATTTTGTCACTTTTAATACCAGCACCAAAATGCACCGAAATGCATCTGATCTCAGTCTTATTTCACCGAGAGCAGATATGTTCAGAGTAAACCTCTCTCATCTGTCCGTCTCTTGCAGGAAGTAACGGATGGGAGAATTCAGATGCGCCACCTAGCAAACCAGTGGTACTCGGAGGTGAGGGGCACAAAATCAGACACAGAGGAGGAGCTGGAGACAAGTCTAATCACTGCACAGGCCAACTGAAGCAGCCAAGTGAAAGAAAACGTCAGCAGTTATTGTAAAAAGAGTGAGCAGTATGCTTGAAAATGCCAACAGTACAGTAAACAGTGCAGGGGACCTCATTTACGCTGGTTTTAGGGCTGTGCAAGATATTCGAAAGATCGAATATTCAATCAATGATTGAATATTCAATCTTCAATCAATGATTGAATATTCAAGTGTTTATTTTCAAAATGGAGTATTTGGACGAAGAAATCAGTTAAATGAAAGGGGGAAATTGCATTCTACAAGTGTATTTCAAGGTGTAAAACTTACTGGCAACTACTGCATATGCCCAGTAGTAAGGTCAAAGGTTACATTTCTTTCAAGTTTTCCTTTTTTTTCTTTTTATGGTATGTGATCTCGCTGGGATAAACCTCCAACCTCCAGCCTACTTTGGCTGGAAACTCTGCCAGACATATCAGACTGCATCGTTTGTCAAAGTGGCTTGCCTGCCCAGTTGTAACAAGATCCAACAGGTCAACCCTCCCCATGGCCAAACAGCCTGGGAGTCTGTGGTTGCCAGACACCACAAGATCCAACAGTAGCATTGTTCATTGGGACTAGCTCCGATTGTCTCAACATGAACAGTTTGTTTGGCTGCTGTCGATTGCCCAGTGCATCAGACTTATTCACCTGATACACTGTGCTGCATCTGGCAGGGTTGAGGTGAAGGCAATTCATCACCAATTGGGTCTGAACATCAGTTGGACTCCCAGCCCTTTTCAACTAGGGGACGGACCCCTGTCCTGGAACTCAATGAGGTAGACCACCCCAAAAAATACACATTTTGTTTCCGCTTTTGGGGCATGGTATAACCAAGTTTTTGATCTTTCAATTGAACAGAAAGTTGAATATTCAATTATTTGAATCTACTCGGCCTGAACTGGCTTTCCAGTCTTGCTGACAGAACCACGTGTTGTTTGAAGCAAAGTCTTTCAGAATTTCACAAAGTAAAGACAATGCGAACTTCAGAGGCAAAAATGTGGTTGAAAATAATGAGGCAACGTATCACATCCCAAATCCAGGGCTGCAACAGATTCATTTTCTCCCAACTTAACCACTTTGTGCGGGGGGTACCTGGTTTCGGGCACATAGGCTTTATACACGAAGCCGGGGAACCCAAAATCGGACAAAAGAGCTGGGCCTTGTAACAAAAGACCGTACTCGGAACAAAAGACAGAGCTGCTGGGAATTGCCAACATTTTTTCAGTTGTCAATGGCGGAGGAAATCCATCATTGTTTTGAAAGATTGTACCACTGTTTGTGGCATTCAGCATGAGTGGATTACCACCGGGGACAAAAGCGCTCCAGCACTCCAGGGATGAGTGATACAATACAGTTGTACACTAATCTGGCCCCTATTGAAAAGACGTCAGCAATGCACTGTGCCAGTTTTGGGGAAAAGAAAATTACATAACATTGCACAGTCCGGGCTCAATGCAAGGCGGCAGGCATGGCTGAAATACTTAGGTGTCAATAAATGTTGTCTGTAAGATTAGAGTGGCCACCAGTCATTCGTGTGGGTGTAAGCTTCCAGTAAATGAAGTTACGAACTTTTGAAGAATTTTGAAAATAGAAAAAAATAAAAAGGCACCCGGCCCAGCAGAATCAACATGGATAAATGGGCCCAGCACGAATGGTTAAAGATGCAGCCTTGTGGAGAACGAAAGATCGAGTCTGATGCACATCTAAACTTTATGTAATTATAAAATGGAATATGTATATTGCTTAAAGGGATAAAGGTGCAATGTACTGAGGGTCAGTAAAGTTTACAATTCTCTCTGGGTGCAGGTTGTGGTTACAACTAACTGGCCTGTGTGCTGATGACATGCTTTGGTTACATGTATGCTTTCCCATGGAGGTTTGAATCTGTCATCTTCATCTGGTTCCCGTAGGAAAAATTGCATGTAATTAAAGTGTGACGTCAAACCTGAACTGAATTTGCAAGATTTCAGCATTTGATCTGATACAGTATTGTCTTATAAACTTTGTTTCTTAAGAGGTCGTATATTTTCACACATAGTATATGTGAAACTTACCCAGCAAAAGCAGTGTACGAATTTGGGGAGGTGTTAATGAAATACATAAATAAAGTAATTGGTTTTCATGATATGCAGCAGTGCCATACAATCTGCAGTTTTTGGTATTTTTTATCATCCTTGATTTCTTAAAAATTTTAGTAAGTATTTAATTAAAAATGATCCCAGGTGATACCCGGTTTCAAAGAAATGGATATTCTGGTGTCACGACCCCCCTTTAATATTTTAAGATGATACATGTATTTGTTAAGTTTTTGTTTTGACATGCTCAAAGGTATCTACTGCTATTCTATTGTGATTTTCATTGTGAGAGACCTACATGTACGGACATGTAATTACCGCGCTTTTTTTTTTCCGTGTCAGCCTTTTTGTCAGTAATGTAAACATAACTTGTAACTGAGCATAAATGAATGTGGAATTCTTCTACTGATGCTGGCAAAGTTGAAATGGCTTCCTATTAAAATGCACAAAATGCAATGCTTCGAAACAAGCACTATGTGAACTGCTCGCTTGCTTGCTTGCTTGATTGATCATGAGTGTATAAATCAATGGATGAATTTGAATTATTAAATTGATCAATCAATCTATTAATGGGTCAGTTGGTCTGTCGATTGACAGACCAACTGACCCATTACCAGACCAGATTGAAAGAAATTTTTAACCAAATGATTTGAATTGGCATTTTTTAAAAATTAGTGGTTTTTAATCAAGTTTACAATGCAAAAAAGTATCTTCGCTACAAAAATAACACTGGAAATATTTACTCAACTTGGAAGTGTTAAAACGTGACACATTCTTCTAATAAACTTTTCTCTTTTTACATTGACAAATTTTAAACCACTTGCAGAATTCTACAAAAATACAGTTTAGAAAGTGGTGACATGCATAGAATGCTGGCCAATCAACTAGTACATACTGAGGAGAGATTATATACAAAGACCTGGGAAAAATGGTTCTTTTGTTCAACTCTGTTCCTCAAAGACCAGGCATAGCACGTAGCTGCAGAAAAACTGCCAAGGATTCCAACTTGAGATGACTGGACTGCCGAACTAGTGTTCCAGTGACTGGGTAATCCATCTTCCCCCTTGATGTCATCCAGTCTGTGAACGTCTTTGTTCACTGGAGTTATTAATCAACTCTCGTATTCAACATTCTAAACTTCAAGCCCTTAACCTGACCCATAAATGGGACTCCTTTAGGAGAAAGATTTGAAACTTGCATAATGCAATGGGGGGATCATACCACGGCAACATATGATCCTTATTCATTCTACTCCTAATGCCTATGAAGTATGAATACATAGCCACTGGATGGAGCTGATAAAAGTTGTTTGTTTTTTTAATGCACCTTGTCAACGTTTCTTGAAGTGGAAATATACATATGGCACAACAATACTCAAATCAACCTCTCTGTTGGAACTTTACAGATTGATTGTGACAGCATAACTCCAGTTACAGACATCCTAGAATTGGGAATTAAAACAGTTTTGACAACAGCACTGGGTCTTTGTTGATTTTATGTACATTTATATAACACAGTGACAAATTCCCACATGTGAAGGGTCTCCCAGATTACATCACAAAGTACACTTCATACATATTTGAAATTGTCTGGTTACAAAACAAGTCATAAAATATGGCATGAGAAAATATTTTGCCATCTAATAAAGTGCTAATTTCTTGTTTATATTTTTTGCTGTATGTACAAGTAACCTTCCACTGAAGGCAAACAGAAGGAAATGTAAATACATGACATCTCTTGTCTCTGCACAGAGCACCTGCTCTGTGCAGAGACAAGAGATGTCATGTTCTCTGGAGCTCAGCTATTCCTAGTACCTGGGGAACTGTATCTATCTTGTGGACTGACTGTTCATACAAACCAGGCAAGCCTTCCGTCTTGCTAGAATTCAGCTTGGGGTAAACAAACTTGCCAGCATTTTAAGATACTTGATCAAAGTCAGATCACCTGGACATAAAGTGACTCCTTTTGTCATGTTTAAATCCCTTCAAAAGTGAGAAAGTTCGTGAATGCACAGGGCTGTGGTGACTGCATAAGGCAACAGTGCGAGTTAAGATGAGCAAGCTCTTACCACGTTGAGTATTTCCTACAGTTCAATGTTCAACTGCAGACTGCTATGAGAAAAGATTGATGAAAGGTCTCTGATTTGGCCAAAGCAGGGGCTTCTCTCTTCAGCGGTCTCAGGGTGTGTCGGCTGGTCTGCCGTGTACACCCCTCAGAGGGGGTAATGTCCCACCGCGCGGCTGCCGGATTACTTGTGCCCTACCCAAGGGCTCTTCTGGACCACCCATACCACCAGCGACCCCTTGAGACAGCGGCTCTGATTGGAATTCAGCTGGAGGGAGAACAGGATCCGCCGGGCTGCCTGGCGTTGCCTCGTCAAGGGGTGGGGCAGAGGAGGCGGCATAGGCCATCTCGCGCTGGGCGTAGAGCGAGGTGGGCGCCGGCGCGGGTGGGAGGGGTTGACCATTACCGACGCCCCTGCCTTGGGGAGGAGGTACATTGATCGGATCCTTCCAGATGTCGGAGTATTTCGGTGGCGCGGCCTCAGCCTGGCCTGATGCTGGGGGCACTGTTGCTACGGGACCTGTACTGAAGACCGGGTTCTGGTAAGTATACGGCTGCCTCACACTGCGAGAAAAACAAAAATTACTAAAAGTTTAGACAAAAATTGTAGCTGTGCAGCATCTGCCAGACTAAACTTTATCAGTCTATGTCAGGATACGTGAAGCTTAAAACCCAGCGTACACAGGAGACCTGTTGATCAGAAGCAATATCTGATATCACAGACCATCATTGGACTGTCATATTTCCAAAAACAAAAGTCACTTTACATTATACTGCTTTTTTTCTTAATTTAATTTTCATTTAATGGTTTGATCAATGCTCATTAGGTTTTCGGATTTTATCATTCTTTTGCTGTCTAACTGTATTTCGTCACTTTGGATGTTTACTGCAGGTGAATGTTTATATTTCATATATATGCATCTACGTTTTAACTTTTCTCATCAATCATTTTTCTTCATCGTCAGTATTTTTTCCCTCTGTGAGGCCCTTTGAAACTTCTGTATAAAGTGCCATATGAGTGTTTATCATTATAAAAAATTGTAAGAAGGTGAAGCCATGCTGTAGAGGTAGTCATGGCTGTGTTAAAGTGTTGAGCAGCATACCAATTACTTGGCTATGGCTATGAAGAGAGCCTGTGTCCGTGAAATCCTTAGCCACTGGTCATAGCCGTTTGATTCCAACATAGCCTTAGATTTCCTGGACAATAAAAAAGCATTTCAACACCACAGCCAAAAAAATGCGGCACCCAGTGACTAGCCGATGAGCCAATCAAGTACGTCGCATTCAAACACAGACCCGTTGCTCTGCGACGATACGACAGGGATGGCTGTTCCGTTGCCAGAGGGCCTGCTCCTGTCAGCAGTGCTTCCAGGGGCCCGACGTGTCGCCTGGCTGTTCATGAAACAGCAGCCTGTGCAGATGCCCAGCAGGATCAGGAGGAGTGACCCGGCCACAATGCCCAGAACGATGAGCCAAGTGAAATCCTTCTCTCCCACTGTCAAGGGGAAAAATAAGGATGATTGGATGTAAGCTTGTAAATGCAGAAAAAGTCTGAGACTAAAAGTAGTGTTAATTCCTCTGTGTCTTACAGACAACAGAACAGAAAGGTCGCCCCCCCCCTCACTTTGGAAAATAATGATGGCTCTTACCCTTCTGTCATTTTTGGATCCCCACTGTCACAACGTATGTGACCCGCTCTGCCAAAAAGGGTATTAAGGGACACCGTGCTATTTCACGCTAAGGGCTTTTTATGAGGACAGGGTGATTTTTTTTTCACACTTTCACAATTCATACAAGAAACCCAACTGTTGCTATGGGTATCAAGAGACTTTCTTCTTGGCTGATTTCTTTTTCCACTTCCTGTGTTTAAAGGGCTTTATCTCTCAAAGAAGCACTTCTGTTAATGAATGTGTATGATATGATTATGCAAAAATCAATATATCTCCAGATTGCAAAATGCCACAGGGTTCAAACCTACACCAAATGAAAGCTTATGATGTAGCCAATTCAAATGTGTATGTAATTCATTTTGAAAAAAAAAGCCCAATAATACCCATTTTTGTGGAGCCGGTCACATGTATGACCAGATCCCACGTAATCAGTCTTAAGGACACTTTTCAAATGATTCTTACTTGCATTACAAAGAGCAAACTGAACTCTTTGCTCTGATGAGAATGCACCTTAAAATGTTGAGGGCTCCTGTTGATGTACATTATGGAAGAATCTTGTCAAGGTCTTCAACTCAGAAGTGGCTCTGACAACTCACGATTGATTTTGTAAGGTTGTGCCACCCCCCCCACTTTCAGAGACGTTCCACCGCCCCTGCCACTTCAGGTGGCTGAATGCCCCCTTCAGCTCTTGAACAACGTTACCACTGAAAAATTGGTGCCAACGAAACTAACAGCAATGCGAAAGTTCCTACATTTTTTCTAGGGTTGCCTCAGAATGCTGGAGAAAGCAAGCATCACAGATTCCAATATGTACTCCGGGGGGCCTGAGGCCCCAGACACCCCTAATAGAACAAGCTAGCACCCAACCACTCCCTCTACTGCTTGAAAGATGGATCCACCACTGGCAAAATTGTACATTCCTCCGGCACAAATTCTTGTCCAATGTTTGTCAAGGTTCACATAACATCTGTGCATAAACTTGTTGGCGGAGGTCCGGGACATAGTGGGATTCACATCCCCCTTTTCCAAATTGTTTTTGGTCTTAAGATTGGATCCACCATCGGCTAAAATGTAGCCTCTTACCGCAACCCTGGTCCTCATCTGAGTTGTCACCACAATGATCATATCCATCACAGACCAAAGAGGGCGCGATACAGCGGTTGTTTTCACAGTGATAGTCCGAGTTTTCACAGCCATACGCATCTGCACAAGAGCACAAGTTGAAACTGTGATTATTGGAAGCTCCTTATAAACTTAACCACGAGTTTTTCTGTCTTGTGTTGTAGCAACGATCCAACATTTTGGCCAGCTCAGTGCTGCAGTGCAGATCATGACAACAAGACCATTCACAAGATCAGTCACAAGGCCATGAATGAGACCAGTCACAAGACTAGTCACAAGACCAGTCACATGACTAGCCACAAGATCAGTCACAAGAAACACGGTGAGCAATGACGAAGGAATTGCTTCCTGTCGCAGTTCATTTGAATAACTTGTGACCTGAACTCAGACTTGAGGTCCTGTGTTGGTCCGGTCTGGACTACAACACTATACAACTAAACACATATGCGGAGGGTGGTTGGTTCTTGAAAGAGGCTGGAACTAGAGGACTTACCTTCGTAGAAGACCACAAACACGGCTTTGAAGCCGTTATGACCACTGTTGGTAGCCCCGTCTGTGCGGAACCGAATGACTGCATAGGAGCTACTGGACACGTAGCTGCCGACTGCGGACTCACAAAGTGTGACCATGGTCGTAGGGTTGGCATTAACTTGACCGTCCAGGACCTCTATGTAATCACTCTGCCGTCCGCCGCAGCCCGCTGATGCTGTCGAAAGAACGCAGGTTTGAAAAGAATTTTGTGACTCCCATTGTATCAAGGCATTTACCTGCAGCAACTTGACCCGGGTCAAATCAGTTACCCATTTTGGAATGAAGTCACCCAACATGTGACTTATGAAGTTCACTGAAGATGATATTTGTTATCAACCCTTTCCTGTCTAAGAATGCAAGAAATAGGGAAATGGACAGAAACCATCACTTTTTTCAAAAACTTCAACTAAAATGCTCCTTATACCCTTGCAAAACCAAAGCTAAAGTCAAGAATTTTCTGCTCTCTGAAAGTCAAATTCTGCTTTCTTCTGCTCTCTATATTTTGTGTACAAAAACTGCATGTGACTGTACATATTGACTGTAGGTAAAGATAATGCATCTTTGACATAATAATAATAATAATAAACACTTATAAAGCGCCCTCTATCTAGAAAACTAATCCGAGGCGTTAGAAGAGACAGTAAATCAGGTTGATGACACTTATGAAGTGCCAATAAAAGAACGCTTGAACAGAAAAGTTTTCGAGTTTGATTTAAAAGTTTCAATTGAGTCAAGTGTTCATTTGGGAGGCACTGGTGCGGCCTATGAAAAGGCCCAACTTCCATAGGCAGTCTGTGTTCTTGGAATCACGAGCAGATTCTTGTGTGATGAGCGCAGGTTACGTTGTGGTACATGGGGTGTAATGAGATCACATAAATAACCTGGTGCCAATCCATGTACTATATTCCACGTTAACAGAAGAATTCTGAACTCAATCTGCTCCCAAACAGGCAACCAATCGAGATGTTGCAGCACCGGTGAGATGTGGTCAAATTTGTTAGATCTGGATAAGACTCGGGCAGCTGCATTTAGAGTATGCTGGACTTTGTCTAACTGGTACAATTTAATGTTGATCAGAGAGAAAGAACAGAGGTATGAATGGGTTTGGATGCAGATGTCTCATCAAGTACTTTCCGTATGCTGTTAACATTGCAAATGTTACAATAAACAGACTGGCAAATCTTCCGAACTTGAGCATCCATGGAGAAATTCTCATCAAAGACAACTCTTAGGTTTCGAACGGTGGATGAGGCAGTGATGCATTCTGAACCAATGGTAACAGTCCGGTCCTGGATCAGAGCGTGCTGGGATTTAGATGCAATTATAAGAAGCTCTAATCTGCTGTGATTCAGCTTCAACCTGTTGGTAAGCATCCATGCACTTATATCGAGGATGCATGCCTCTAACTGATGCTTAGCAGAGAGTTCACTATCAGCAGATGATGGATCAAATGGAATGTACCACTGTGTGTCATCTCCATAGAGGTGAATTTGAAGACCATGTTGACGGGCAATGTTGGCTACCGGGCTAAAATACATGCTGAGCAAAAGTGGGCCAAGCACTGATCCTTGGGGCACACCAAACTGCAAAGTTGCAGGAGATGATGATGATTCACCAATCTTCACAAAGTGAGACCCGTCCGATAAGTACGATGAAAATCACTGCATAGGTATTCCTTTAACACTGTACAACTCAAGACGTTTAATTAATAGTGAGTGATCCACAGAGTCAAATGCATAATGATACATGTAGGACCTACACACACCATGCCACTGTGATCTTGGACTGGTCTCCATCCCTACTGATTTATTCATAAGCGGTGAGACGTCTGGGCACTATGTAGGGAACAGGGATATCGCAAATGAAAAACAGGAGGGGAAATGCTACCAAATGTTACTTTCAAAGTGAGTTAAACAATAAAATGAGTTGTCATTCCTAATTTGAGTTCATATTTATTTGACTAATTGTGCAGAAACGATCAAAAATATTTATTTGTTTTATTTATTTTTTTTTTACCAAGAATTACATTTTCTGCTTTCTACCCCCGAATCCGCGATTTTCCACAAAGCGGAAAATTCTGGACTTTAACCTAAGCCCAAACTGGATAAGCACTGAGCTTTTTGTAATAATCTTAATCACTTACACACAGGGAGGTCAACGGCCAAGAAATCTATGAAGACTTTCTCATAGGTCCGAGACCCGGTAATCTGGATGGAGCAGCGAGAGTGGTGGTCGTACGTGCCCTGTGGGTAGTTGTCATGTGACACGATGAAGCCCCCTCGCATGGTCAGAATGGCACGGCTAATGTCGCAAACTGTGCAGATGGGAAGAATCGAAGGAAAACTTGATGGAATATTGCTTTGCAAGTTCCTCTTCTTTTCAATTGGTTTTTCCCAAAACAAATTCTCCAGGAAAAAGAACATGTGACGCACTCTTTAAAACACACTCAACTTCTGCCCCAAACTCGGCCACCTGGTTTTAAGCCTGGCGTCCCATGTGCGAATGTGAAAATTTACCCTAGTGCTGCTTCAGACGAGGTCATCCACTTTTGTCGTCATTTCTCAAGAGCTTCTGGGAGAGGGGGTTATTAGTAAGCTGTGTAAGCTTTGGGAAAATACCCAAAATGATGGCAATAAAATAAATGATCAGTTGTTTCTTTGTCTGTGTGCTCAAGGAGAGGGGAAGGGTTGCAGAAAATGAAGCAACTGCAAAATGATGACAGAAAAAAAAATTGATAAAACCTTGGGCATATTTTCGACAATTATGAGCGTAAATCCAGGGCATGTAATTAGCAAATTCATAATGGATTTTAACTAACGAAGTATGGGCTGCTATACATGTTCCATATTTTCAATAAAACTGCTATAAGAAATGAAATTCAAGGGCTGTGAGTTTGAAAAAAAAGAGTGCCATCAGTATAAAAAGCAGTAGCCTCCGGAACAGATTATGTAGAAAGCCCCTTGGACGTAGTTTAATATTTTGTCTGATCCAGGTCTTGTCATCAGCAAAAAATTAATAGATTTCAACCAAGAGAGCAAGGGCTACTTTGAATTTTCTCTATCCTTACGGGTCATTCTATAAAATTTGGGTCCAATTTTTTCCCCGTCCCTGTTACGTCTTGTCGTATGATTTTTTAATATTTAAAACACATTGTTTAATTTCTAAGATTGAATAAGTGCTGTAAATTACCTGCCAAACAAATAAATATAGTTTGAAATTAATTTCAGTCACATATCCTTTGTCACTGTATACATGTCAGGTGTAACAGAGAGGGAGAAATGTTACATGTCGGATCCCAAATTTAAAAAATGAACCTTATTGAAAGAAGTACATGGAGCATCGGCGGCACTGAGATTACACGTTATATGTTTTTCCAACATTCTGGTTTAGATTTGAAAACTGTTTAAAAAAAGTAAGAAGCCCATGTCCAAATGACTTTGCTGTGGCTTAAAATTATGCTCAGGCCTATGAAATCCACTAGCTAGCGGCTGAAAGCACATCCCATAGACACATGTGTTACTCAGAGCCACAGCTATGTAATTTGGACACAGCCCAATCTTCCTGAGCACTCCACCTGAAATCGCCAAGTTGCTGTCCTCGTTGCTGGTGCCCGGCAAGAAGCCCACGCTCGAGGTGGCGTACTCGGCGTAAAACCCCTCAAATGCTGCTGAGACGTCTGTGTGGAACAGCACGTACATGCCAGGGCCCGTGGTCTCAATCACGCCGCTGGGTTCTTGGTTGAAGCCACCGCAGTAGCGGCCAATCAGGGGCGTAGCCGATGACACACCGTCGCGCACCTCCACAAAGTCATAGACACAATTCTGGGACGGCTCTAAATCAAAAGATGTGAAACGCAGCTGCAAAGGAAAAGAAACAGTCAGTAGGAATTCACTAATGAATCAATCATAAATCTGCTAAGCCCTGTAAAAGAAAACCATCAATCACAATGTTTTTTTTTCCAGTATGAATCCTTTAAACAGGAAAAATAACATTTTTTCCAAGTTACACACCCTAAAAGCCTCAAATTTAAGTTACAAATTTCAGTTCAGTTAAGCACAGATATAAAGCAAGAAAATTCATAAAGGCTGTTTTTTTTCTGCAGCACCAGCTGCCAAATGAAAAGCAAATGCTTCAAACATGCATAACTCAAAAACCTGAAAAGTGTCCTCAAGCCCAACACCACGTGCACGTTTGGATGATTTTAAAAGTTTGCTCCTCTGAAGAAGTATATTACTATCAAGAAAACCCCCAGAGATTCCAGAGTAAAAAGTGTGTTGACTCCTGATACATACACCTGTCAGGGGTCAAAGAGCATCACCACTAGAAAGGAAAGTTTTGAGGAGTATTGAATTTTTTTTTTATCACAGCTCTCAATAATTTAGAAGAGAAAAGATTCAGAATCAGCACAGAAGGATCCTTCCAAATCTGAAATTTTCCGGTCTCTCCATCATTGTTACAGAACCGCTGCAAGTACCTTTTATCTCATTTCAAATTATGTCAACCTTAAAATTGTACAAAGGAAACACTTTGTTGCTCACCATGACGTGGTCGTTTTCATTGGGCAAGACGACGATGTAGCTGCAATCTTGATTGTGATCGTAGCTTCCCGGAAAGCCAGGGCTGTAGAAGATACCATTGTCCTCCTCCAAGAGAGAATAACAAGAGCCTGGTGCGTTGGTAGGGAGGGGCTCTGGATCATGGATGAGAGACGAGGAACAATGATTGAAGCTTTGTCATCCATTTACATGTATCATTGTCTTGGCATGAGGTCAAAGGTCAGACATTGGAAAAGGACTCTTGGATTTTGTGAAATGAGTCGAGCAAAGACAATGTCTGAATGACCCAGTTTGATATTTCAGAAAGGCAACGTCGTTTGAGGGCGAAGTGTCTGAAGTCACACCAGCTCAAAAGCGTTCAGTGTGTGTGAGTGGGTAGACAGCCTCACTGACAGGTTCAACATTGTTCATAGGTTTGACCTCTCTGATGCTCTCGAATGACATATGACGCACTTCCTTTTGAGCACCTGCTGTTGAAATACCAAACCTGGTCACTGGATAAGAGATCGTATCTCAGAGAGATTGTATGTTTGAGTCCGCATGCCAACATGGTGATCTGGTCAAGGAATAACATCAGATAGCCTTTAGACATAAAGCACCAGAGAATGGCAATAGATGGACAAAAAAGGACACAAAGTGACCCTTGGTGAATTCAAGTCTACAGGCCCCAGCTTTTAACCCTGCAAAGTCGGGGGGATATAGGTGGGGTCGTTGTATGTAAAACACAGCAACCTTTTTTGTCACACCAAAGTCTTCATGAATTTTTCCCTCATGCTTTCAGTCTGTTTTTAACACTTTCTTCCCTGAAGAGAACATTCTCAGGAAATATCCATGTTGTATTTAACATTATCTTGTTACTCTCTCCAGTGAAAGGTTGGCATGTCGTGACAGTGGTGTAAATTATAAATGATAAAAAACATTTCCTTGTCCAAAAACGAGTAGGATGAAACCTTTACAAGTGCATTTGGAGCGGATGCCCTCACAAGCTTGCCGAATGTTGACAAAATCTGCTGCAACCCAGACAGGATCTAACAGGGGAGGGGGCTCCAACCCACCCCTATAAGGTAAGCAAGTGTAAAAGTCTCACATTACTGGCCATGCAAATTTAGGCTTCAAACCATAGAGATGTACACACCTTGATAACTGGATTCTACACTGTGCACCACTGCCCTAAACCCCGTTTCTTGCACCGACCCATCGGTATGAAAATGCACATGGAGGTGACGCCCACTCGAGACAATTGTGGGAGGTTGGATGGTGCCGCAGAACCTGCCAAACTCGGCGTCCGCGTTGGAGTCCCCATCATAAATGATGACATAGTCAAAGGCGCAACGATTGTAGGTGGTTGCCACCTCTACGTCGAAACTGGTGAAATACAGACGGACCCTCCGGCCTGGTGAAGGAAACAACCCGACAAAATGCCGAAATAAGGTTTTGAAATCGAATAGGCAAGATAAGGGCCTTTCCGAGCTGCTTACTTTCATTTCAAATGGTTCAAACTGCATCTTAGACAATCGCCAATTAGAAACAGTTTTGCTCAAAACTTTAAAGAAACTGCCACAGGTCATTTAATACTGCTTGCAACTGACAAATTTTAAAGATCAACTGCATTGCTGTTGTGGAAAAGGTTATTAAACAAGGAATTGGTCATTGTTACCAATATAATGACTAACATGGCAGCTTCTCTTTGCATTTATAAAAAAATCATCATTTTTGGAGTTCAGTTCCACCACGAGAATACTCAGAGTAAAAAAAATGTGTCAATGGGCGCAGCAAAAAAAAATCTAGCTGTTTAATGATGTCATAATATGGATCTCGTTACCCCAGAGTTTTTTGACCTTACGGCAGTAATGGGGGCTTTATAGCACTATAGAGTTAGACGTCATTCTCGGCAAATGACTATGGCCATCTGCCTGAAATTCATCAAGACCTTACTCCGGTTCGAATTGGGATGGTTTAACTTAATATTACGATCCAGTGTTGATCATCATCATTGTCGATGGAAAAGCAATTCCAAGTCGCTCTCACTGTCTGACTTCTTTTAATTCACAGTTCATGCAAGAGGGCACGTTCACCCTGAAATTGCAGAGCCGTGGTGTGACGTCATCAAAACAGACTTCTGTTGGATGCTCTCGACTTTTGTTTTCATTTTGTTTGATATAAAGGAGAATTCAACTTTTGACGTCAGTAGCAATCTTTATTTAGTTTTCACACATAAATTGTTTTAAATATAACTAAATTCATAAAAAGCGAAGTTATGAATTACCAACGTAATTTATCTTTAATTTCAAATTGCTTTTGTCTAAAAATCAAATACAAATCAATTTGTGTCACTGCTGAAAACAATTAAGAGCCGACAGACCTTAAAATTTCAGTTGAGGCCTCAAATATTTTAAAAGTGAAATGTATGCCTCTTTTTTTAAAAACTTTGGTTATTCCTTAAAATTTGGTCTTCCTCGGGACGCGTTAAGCCGCTGGCAGCTGGGTTGTTAACAGGCACTGAAAAGGATGAATACAGTCCGTACATGGCTCCCCGTTCAACGACGGATTAAGTTTGAGCTGTTCATATTTGCTTTCAATGCCATTTGGGCAAGGGTCCTGTTTATCTCAATCTTCTGCTCAAACAGTTTCAACGACAACCAAAAGCAAGTTCAGCTCCAACTCTGGAATGAAAACGATCCAGAAAAGTCACTACTGGCAACAGAGCCTTCAGAGCCTGTGCCCCTCAGCTTTGGAAGGTACATGTTCTGCCTGTGCCATTGGGGCAAGTTAAAACTTTTACAGATTTTAATGTAAATCTTAAAACCCACCTTTTCAAAGAAGCAATGTCTGCTTAAGTTGTAATACGTATTAATGTTTTTTTAATTTCTAATCTCTGATTTTTTTTTTATCCGCATACCTTTTAACATTCTAAAAGCTTCCTCTTTGACTGACTTTAATTTTTTTTGGCCAACCTATTTTGATGATTTTACGGTGGGGGGGCGCAGTTTTGACGTGTATTTTGTCCGTACTTACAATCTTTGTTTGTATTTTCCTTTGAGCGTCACTCAAAGGTCTTACCTGATGGGGCAGTAATGTAAAAGTTGCAGTCTAGGTTGGGTGGGTACTGGTCTGGATAGTAGAGGGATGTGATGACACTTTGCGAGTAAACATTCTCCAAAACGATCATCTCTTGGTTACATCCCTTGATGACACCAAATTGTTGGCATAGTAGGAGAAGAAGGAAAGTGACCGACATCGATGACGACAACGGACAGAAAACTGAACGCTTGGTTCCTTGTTCCATACTGGGTCAATGTACTGCTGTCTGTTGGCAAAGACAAAAGTACTGTCTAGAAGGTGTTTTTCGGCTGGAAAATCTAGTTTGCATTATTAAGCTTATGAGATATTCCGAAAAGTGTGATGTTGGCTAGCTAACCGCGTTCGTAGACATGTTCAGAAAAACACTTTTCATGACATCACCACCTATTTATTTGATCATATTTATGTCACTTGGTAAATGATTATGAACCAAAAACAAAAGAATAAAACATATATTAAATTCTTGCCAATATTCTTTGCATTTCAACTTATTTCTTGATCAGCATGAAATGGTTCGGAAGTATGGAGATCACATGGGGGAAAGGAATGATTCCCCGGACGAAAAAGGGACAAATTGAAAAAAAAGGAAGAGACAAGCATACAAGAAAATAAACCCGTAAAAGAGGAATAGAGGTGGAAATCACCAAGTTACACTTAACACCTGACCCCTCCCACGGTCACTGATGGTTTTTCAGTTTGTACCTACCCCCCCCCCCCCGAAAGAGATTTTCTCTCTTTTTAGTGCATGTAGCAGTCAGTAAAAATGTGTAATGATTCCCACACAAGGTTTCAACTTTCCTATGAGTAGCCAAATCCCAACTCCAATTTATGATCTGCATTAAAGTTGGCCTGAGAACTAGGCCCTAGATATTCAGGAAATTAATCCTCCAATTTCTGGTCCATGTCAGGCAAGGGAGTGACACACAACAGAACATGTATATGAAAAAGGAAATAATGCTCAGAAAATGAGTGATAATACTTTTCAAAAGGAGACTGTAACTCAGTGACATTCACACATTAAAATTACTGAATAACAATTCAGGACTGCATAAATTTTGAACTTTTGTCGGAAAATACTTTTCAAATGTTTGTGTCTCTGACCACAGAGACACTTCACACACACTGGACATGGTAGAGTATATGATTTTCTGCAAATGAGCATGAATTTGCACACATATTTTTAAGACAGAAAAAAGACTCCCCCGCAGAGAGAGAAATTGTAGACACTGTACTTTTTATTCCTAAGTACCGGTACAAGAAAGTGTGAGTAAGGCTAGTTTACGAGAAATTTTAAAATCCAAATATGTTTGGAAAAATGAGAACGGAATAGAATGCACACCAGCCTATTTGCCACTTTCAAGCCTTACTTACAAGAAATGTCGTTCCCAGGTTGAGATTTAAGTGATAGCCTTCAAGACCAGCACTGATGCTTTCATGATGAGAAGTCAGGTTCACCGGTACGTGCACCCACCACACAGTCGGTATCATGGACGCTAGGGTGTGCTGGGATCAAATAATATCTCAGCTCTAGGGGCCTACTTCCTTCACCATAGAGACGAAACCGGTGGTGTCGGGAAAAAAATCACCTCCACAACAAGGATCTGGAAAAGTCAACACAACTAGGCTCAATTTCCCACAAGGTTTTGAGTTCTTTCAGTAGGCCGTTGAAATCATGGCCACAAAGATTCCACTAACTCGAACCTCCAACCCGTTCCAACCTCAGAACTTTCGCTGGTCGACGAAATACGTTTCCTGGCTAAAGCAATTCAATACCAACTTGTAAAGTTGGAGGTGTAGGCCTACAGTATTCGTAGTCCAAAGCGAAGTGTTATTCGGTTACGCACATCCCGTTTGCGGATGTTAAAAAAAATCAATACCCATGCCCTGCTTCTCAAAGAAAACGGCCACTTACCATCAATGCCTGAGCTTCAACAATGGAGCTTTTTATGGGCACGGTAAACACGGGTTGACGGTACCGGTAAGAACTATGGTACGAGCTGGCGACCCAGGCCGAGGCCAATTTAGGTTTCCATGGCGGCACGTAAACTCTACGTAATGTGTGTGGGGGGGGGGACTCGCGCTACCGGTATATCCGGATAATGCAGTGAAAGTGGGCGTGGCGAATGAATCGTAGGGTCCAGATTTAATTCCCGTTAATGAAGAAAAGGGGCGAACCTGGACAATGAAGGTTCAACAAATCTGAGCATATGTACCGTATGTTATGTAGGCACTAGGCATATATTACATAGGCCTATAAAGAACCGGTGTTTGTCTGACAAATGCCTTGGGAAATACAAGGAAAGTTTGACAAGGACCATTTGTCGACCATTTTTTATCCAGATGCCAGATGCACAGAATGTATTTTGTGCACAAATTACCAGAGAAAATCGAGCAACGAGTCGAAAAAATGGTCCTTGTTTAAAGACATTAGGCCTAAGGGGATACGAGAATGAAAGGATTATGCGACCAGTCCGTTTTCAACCACATTATAAAAATTCGCCTAGAGACAGTGTGAACATTTTATCGTACAACAGAAAGAACTTAGGTAAACAAAATATACAAAAGGTAAAAACAGAGCCAGTGCTAACTTCAAAAGTTCTAGTTTATTTGACCCATTCAAAATCTTTTATAAGTATATGATGGTTCATTTTTCTCAGTTAACATACATTTAAAAGTTTGCACTCTTATAGGATGGATCATGTATAGAAACAAGAACACATACAAATACGGCGAAGAAATGAAATTGATGCTTTAATTTCTTCGCATTTAATTACACTTGGTTCAGTTCTAAAAAAAAAGGGGGAAAAAGAAGATAAATACACCCGAAACACTGCACAAAGGTCACGCAAAATGCCGGGAATTTTCTCTTACATTTTGATCATTTTCACAGTACATATATTATGTGACGGACTTTGTCCGATTGGGTAAGACAGGACATTTGTATTCACAACCTATCCAGGGGGTAGGGGCAAGGTCCCCAGGCCTATGCTCCTGTACCCCCCCCCTTCAAAAAATTAGAGAAAACTGCCGAAAATAGTGTTTCAACCGTGACCGAACCCATCGAGTGTCTCTCTCCAAAAAATGAGGCCCCCGAATGTCTCCCTCCCCTGCAAAATGTACACTAGTTACGCCACTGCTGTTTTTTAAAAGGGCTTATTAGCAAACCTTGACACATAAAAATGCAGCATCTAATTCCGAAAGCGCGTTTGACTAAGTTCTACTCAGGCTAGGTCACTTCAAATTAATGTGGCTGGGACCGGAGGAGTCCACAATTCCTGAATACCGCCCTCAGCTGTTAAAATGTAACTAGTTTGACTAGCGTATTTAAAGGCCGAGTTCGGGTGGCTTGTTCCCGTATGTTCACGAACAGCTCGATTTGTTGTTCGTGGGTCGGCTGCTCGAACGCCGGGAACAAACAACCGGTTATCGCTGGTAGTTAGTGACAAGCAACATGCAACATGGCGGCGTCCATGTAGGCTACGTTATTCGAGAGTTAATGTTTGGATGGGCTGAATTCTTTTCTATATAAACGGGAACATTCATTTCTGTGTTACGGAAAATAATTAATGTTAATTTTGCAAAACTTCCCATTGTCGATGGCTTTGGAAGCCATCTCTCTACTTTTTGCAGCTGTTCAAAAATCAAAGTCTCACGAGTTTTTCCGTGTGTTCCTTTAATTTAACCCTGACGAGGAGGTGGTGTGTGATCCTGTTCCGAGAACAGTGTTCTTGAGTCGTGTTCCCGCCGTTCGAGCGCGAGAGCACGACACCCGTGTCAAGAACAAGCCGCCGGAACTCGACCTTAATGTCGGCTTCGTCGCGTCTCGGCTGCCTCGCAAGCTGTATTATCTGTTTGAAATATTTAACGCCTGGCCAACAACCACGGGCAAACAGTCCGAACCTTTGCCATAACTCTGGACAATTTTGTATTCCCATATCAGAAAATGGAACAGCTCGGGTCTAACGGGTCAAAAATGAAATTTCGAAAGAAAAAATGAATCCTAAAGCATGGAGACATGGATTGTAACAAAGCCGATTTGCATAAAAAGTAAGTTGTCGGGTGTGACACGTTTTAAATAACTTGTAACGCGCCGGATCACACATTAATTACATAATAAATAGCATTAATACATTTGCATCACGATCAATAACGGTGGAGCATATCAAACCTAGCAAAAATATACGAGTTTTGTTTTTAAACCATTTCGACTCTATAAGAAACCCAGAATTTCAATAATAAACACATTTTAAGAAAGTAACTCTAAAGATGAGCTCAAGACTTGCATAAACTTTACGTTCTTGATTTAAAGTGTCTTCAGTCCACGGCACATTCTTCTTTTTTTTTCAATTTTTTGTTCTCATTTTGTAGACTTTAATGTGTACCTCATGGGACATGTCGCAAAGTTCTTGGCAAGGCGAATTATGTCCGCATGAAACGCTGTCACACCATGAAGGAATAAAAAATTCGCTCACACTCAATGATCTGTATGTATGTATACATGATTGGGCCTTGTCCAATCCCATCGTGGTTAGATACTTTGATCATTTTGCCCCACTCGTTCGGAAAACTGAAATAAGTTTTCATGAAAAGTTTGCCACATCCAGTTTTCGAAAAAAAATGTGGGCTTACGTTTAGTTTCCGTTTCAAAAACAACTCCGTGAACTAACTTAAGTCCGAAATATTTTCCAGCACAGACCAGCTGTAGATGAACCGTGACGCATTTACGAGAAAAATCTTCTTTTCCTGTTTGCTCTTTAAGCTCACATTCTGGACAGGAAAATAAATGTCTCATCCTTTCCCGCCATTTTTTCCTCAGTCCCTTAACAAGAGTCCTATCAATATCCTCCCTGGTTTCAGCAACCTTCACCACTGCTGTTGGTCCCACCACTACTGCCGCTGGTACTCGCAGGGCTTGGCTGACCTCTCCTCCGCGCCTGGGTCGGGTTAAGACAAGAAGAGAAAACGGATAATGAAGAAACTATATGATGTATTTTAGTCAAGGTTTACGATCCATGAAAATTCACAACCAGCTTGTAAAGACTTGTGTTGTTTATATTATATAGCATGCAACCTGGGGATCGGTGCAGCGGTCGCTCTACGTGTTTCCCTACCGTTCTACTGTGCTCGTCTCCGGCGATGTAACTGTACAAAGTTTATTGTCTCTACTACAGGAGCACAGAGGGCACAAGGGCGCATGAATGAAAGTTAAATATTAACTGGGACGGCGTACCTCCTCCCTATGTCATTCAGCGCAGAATTGAAGTTTTGAGTCCGGGGGGGATGCAATGTTATTCTAAACAGATTGTCAATTTTTACACACGTAGAGCAATTTTCCCAGCCGTGCACCTCCAATGGAGGTGGTAGTAAAGCGCTTATAAACTGTAAGACTTGAAAGATGGTGCTTCCAATTCCTTGAAAAATACCCATGGGGTAGTTTCTTTTTAATAAAGAACTTGCCTAAAGTTGCAAACAGCGATTCAAATTTAAAGTGTCAAATAAAACATGTCTTGAACATATGAAAATTATCACCGTGTCAGCGATGTGTAATGCGACGCTTGCAAGGAAAAATCGCCATTTGGCCTTCGCGGTTACATTTGTCAACCACTATTTTGGTGTGGTGCAGGATCAGCTCGCTCGATGTTGTGGCACAACGGGTTAAAAGAAGGTTGGCTACCACACTTTCTAGAGGCCATTCGGTGGTCGGAGAGTTGACGAGTTTCCAGGAAATTTCTTGAAAGGTTTGCTTGCGGTGTCCCGGTGTGGCATAACTCACAACTGTAGAGACAATACTGCACTGTGACCGCTAAAGTTGTTTTGCTGGTTCTCCTATTGTCCTCACCCGGGTTCAACAACCGAAAAGTGGGTCAAAGGTTATTACAGACCAGGGGAAAAAGTAGTTTAGTTTGTTTGCAACGTGTAGCAGAACCTCAAGGTGGATGGAAAGTAAAACCATTTTTCTCCCGAACGGTATAAGGTGTGCATTCAAGATAAGGCCTAAATAACCCCAGATATAATTTAACGGGAATGAAGCAGTTTTCTGGGAAAGTTTGACAATCTAATGGACACTTTATATAAATTATAGGCCCTACAGTGTTATTTAAATTAAGAGATCTTTAACGGTATATTTAAAGTATATATACTGTACATAGATTTAATGTATATAACATGTCTATATTGTAAAACAAAGTGGATATTAAGTAGCCCACAGGCAGTTTCACTTTGACTGTATGGAACACAAACTGATAAACTGCCATAAGATATGGAGCCAAATCTGACGATTTTTTTAAGTTTCGGGAAGACTCAAAACCACACTGGACTTTTAAAAATGCCACATCTACAAATGTCAGACTTTAATGGAGTGTAGACATATTCGCTTTCGGGGGGGGGGAACCATGCTGGTTGTAAGGAATGCTTCCGCTCACCTTAGATTTCCTGATTCAATTTCTCTTTAACTAAAAAAAACCCGAGATTGTTGCATGTTCAGTTAGAAAGAAAACACTAAGGGAAAACCAACATTAGCGTCTCTGGGTGGAGAACTGCCCGACACACGACCGAATCTTCGGAATTTCTGAATGCATAAACTCCATGAAAGTAAGACAGTGTATGTTTAAGAACGTACAGGAGACGAGAACTTCTGTAATGAAGATGATTTCTGAAGAGTAGGTCTCGGCCTGCTGTGGAATCCCCCCCACCCACAGCCACGCAGACGAAATTCCGAATCTACATGCAGTAACGCTATGGTTCTTCAAAACAGTCAAACAAACGGGTTTTCAAGTTAAAAAATACTGAAAATATTGAGATGCAGGCTATTTTTTTTTTACAAAGCGACTTATTTTTTTTCTGAGTACCTCACTGACGTTTATCAGACACCGTGGGCCTGTGCTGTACCACCCATTAACACGCATGCTGATAGACAAACGACCCAAACCGATAGCGACTAGACAGGTTGCAGAAAAAGGCGGGATGTCCTTTTTTCAGCGGCCAATCAAAAGGGTCTCGAGGGAGGGCGAGTCGTCTCAAATGTCATGCCCATCACGAAAACCCAACCCCCGTCCCAACTTATTAACAGCGGTGTGAATCGCCGCATTTGGTGCGTGCGGTGCGAACCCACATCCTAGACAGTCTCTTGCTTCAAACCACGCGTTCGTGTCTCACCCACTGAGAAAACCTATACACTACATGTAACCCCCCCCACCCACCGGTGACTTCATAGATCAATCAAAAGATCTGGCAACTGTCCACGAATTTCATCTTTTCATGATGACAGAGAATCACTTCGAACTTCGAAGCCGGACAAAAAATTTGTTGTCCCCTAGGTTTGTGAGACGATGGGACAGAGCCCATCCCTCCCTGAGACGCACGCACTGGTCCTTGGGTGGCAGTAGGTAAAACCGTGCATCATGGATGTGTTTTGGCAGTGGAACCCAACTAACCGTTTGACTTGTTGCTAGTTGCAGATGTTCGTTTTGGCGATTCGTCGTATTTGACAGAAGGTAAAAGTAGCGGCCTTTGGTTCTGTTCACGTTTAATGAAACTTTTTCAACGCCCACCGAAACATACATGTAAAACCTTGTCACAACTCCATGATATCGGCGGGGACAGTTGTACATGGTTGAATTTAAAAATGGCGCCTGGATGCGCGTACTTCCTCGCTTGGTCGCACAATTTTAACGACAGTTGTATGATTTCATGTACATGTACATGCAGTTGCTGTGGCAGCACAAAGTACCAATCGTCAGAAACGTAGACCCTTGCAACAATGTCCATGGATCTGACATCGACCCAATTTTCAAGCGTGATAATTATCACACAACGACAGAACGGATGCAACGGCTTATCCTTTGTCGTTGTCAGGTTAAGTGGCGCTGCCAACGCAGTTTTCCGAGAATAGAGAGACAATCACCCCGCGGGACGAACACTGCGACGCTGCCACTCACCTTACCGCGGTGCGCAAATAATTCATCACCGTTTTACAGATGGTCTTATGGGATCACCGTTGAAATACCGTCTGATGTCACGAAATGGATGATGTTTTGGGTAATTAAACTGGTTGCCTTTCTTCAAGACACACCTTCTCGGACATTTCACATTTTCGTAGTAACACGCCACCAGGACCCTCCGACTATACAGAAAAGAAGTTCGCAAGTAGGCCTACCGAGATTTTCTGAGTCGCAGATTGCGAAACCTTGAGGGCTATTTTACGCACGAACAGTCAAGTTCATTTCGCAAGAATGTATTGTAGGATAAAAGTGATAATTGGTAACTTCAAAGAATGCGGCTTGCCACTCATCAAAAGGTTCAAGCTGAACGACTATACCGCGACTTATTATATGCGACACGCCATGCTACAAATTCATATGGTACACACTATCCTGCGCGAGTAGGTTTCGAAACATTCCACTCCGAGAGTAATTCTATACTTTCGTAGAATTTTAATCCATTAGTATAATCATGCTTTGGAAAGGAAAATGTTGGACGACTGCCAGTGTTTTCAAGTCTACCTGCAGAGTTCCAATCCGTTGTTAACTTATTCCCAAGGTCGGAAGTTATGTTCTACACAGGCGCGGGTCTTATTGTTAGGGCAAACTCTCAGACTCAGAGCTTGTATTTTAGTTAATTAATGACTTCCACAAACCTCTAGCTTGACATGTCGACAGTCTTGGATAGCAAAATAACGCTTAAATCTTTCAAGCCGGGTTAACTCAACGATGTGACTGCCACCCCCGCGGACTCGGGATCGCACCGAGTTTAGAACACCCACGGTCCGGGGAATCGCTGCGCGATCGACCGTGCACAGGCGGGAGCCGATGACTCAAGCCCACGAAGGCCCCGTTGCCGTGGAACAATGATGGAAAACATCCAAAAAATTTGGGATCACATGCGCTGAGAAAGATAAAAGACTTCCGGAGTCGGAGTTCAGGTTTATTCAGCCAAGGAAATAAGCGATGCTACAATTGTTAGAGTGTGAATTCTCCAACAGGTGGCCCTTTGTCGATAAAAGAACGCAAACTGAATTCGCCAAAACAATGATTCCCTTTTTTCCACGAAGTAAAGATCGCATTCAATTTTGACGTTTGTGTTTGCGGGTCACATACAGGTAGCACCGAAGAAATATGTCGATGATTGTGAACTAAATTTGAAAACCAGTGTGAAAACAATCTTCTTAAAATTTGTGACCTGTCACGACAAAATGAGAGTAAAGTCGCATCCCGCTGTTTCCTATCTTGAATATATTCAATGTCATATTGAGGTGGAGGTAAATTTTTGGGTTTTGTAATATTTGGAAAGAGTAACCCGTCTCCTGTTTAGTTCCAAATTTTTCGCAGGATCATATATCGAAAAATGTCATTTTCTCAGCAATTTTGCTGACAGTATTATTCATTTATTCAAAGCTGGCAGAATAATGTCACATTGTTACCTTATACTTTTACCCTTTACTTTCTGCTGAAATCAAAAATACCGATATCTCAATTATTGAAAATTCCGACTTTCACCTCATTTTGTGGTAACAAGTCTCATTTTTGATCGACTGTCTTATAAACTTTTTCGGCCGGCCGACAGAACCATTATATTATGGACAGAATACTGATTATTAAAATCTGAAATCTTCTTTTATTACAATTGAACTAAACTAATACAATTACACACAGTCCCTGCCTGGTCTTATTTTCTTCAAAGCAAAACAACATAGACTATGCAAAGGTAATTTACAGTCCCTATAAAAACCATATACATGTATACATAATAAGTATATATTCGCGACAAATGGATAAAAAACTTACTTGACAACTATAGGAACAGTTTTAAGTTTGTCACTATAATACTTTCCGCACGTTCCCCTTCTTTCAGTCTCTAACTTTCACTGAAGAATATATCAAATATCCTGCCCAGAAGTGAAAACAACAATTCAAACAATTCAACACTGAAAAGCGATCGGAATTTCGGCGACGGCGCTTTTTCAGGCCAAATCGTCGCGAATTTAAAGAGAGTGCTGGACAACTCACAATGGGACTTACAGGGCGCAGAACATTATCGCCCATGTCTTGCGTCTATTAGGGCGGGGATCCTTTTACGAATAGAACAATGGGTTTGAATAACACATCCTTAAAGCCAATTTTTAATGCCCATAAGATGCTTTTAGGATGTTAACAGTGTCCGCGGAATAAGGACCTTTCACATATATCTTAAAATACATTTCTTTGTTTCGTTTTCATTCCCTAAGGGGCGTAGTCACGCCCCAAATTGAGTGAGGATGTATGACATTTTGCTGCCTGCATCAGACCCGGCATGCAACGCATGATGCATTCCAACGTGACAAGGACGCCTCAGGATGTCGGTCTTTAGGACTTTGGAGCCAGCTAAAGAGGAAAGCCCAACGCCCACTGATTCACCTTGTGAAAAAAAGCGGATTATTTCTCGGGTATTTTTAAAGCTGCGGGTCTAAACTTGCACCGATGACTACTCGACCGTTTGTGACCAGTCAGATTCACATGGCTTTGACGGATTTCCTTTCGCGTCTACGACTGTCTGGTGATCCAAAAACAGATCAGACAGAATACCCTTTTCAAATCTCGGAGTGCTTCACCCATCCAAAAATGGAAAAGTGGTATTTCACAGTCACAATTAACAATACTACTAATTTCAATATAATTATTATTCTGTGGATGTTTCGCCCACCGTGTAACCCCGAATAAAGTAATTAACTTTGGCTCCATCTCAACGAAATGTGACAAAGCCAAAATCTCAGTCGCCAAAAACTGGATCATTCTAACTTCTGATGGATCCTTCTCGAGCGGAGTATACTACTTCGAAAACGATTTACAATAGGCAATCATCTCAGCTTCGGTTTGTATTCCAATTATTGCTGTTTCATTTTTCATTTTTGCACATCATTTAACATGAAGGGGAAAAAACTAGATAAAAACTTGAAAAATTAAAATAGCATAAATTTGGCAAAGGACATTTTAAAAAACTTGTTACAAGTCGGGACTCGAGTGCCAACTCAATATGTGGGCACGTGGACGATAAATTTCGTGTCTAAAGATTCACTGGTACGCAATAATAACGGCAACGCCGTTACACTAAAAATCCCCTAAAAGTGTCGCACAATATAACTGTAGCCCGCATAAGATGTGACATGCACGCAAACTTGGACTTGTTGGCCAATTGGGGGCGTTGCATCGTGTTTTTCCTCTGAGGGGTGTGACGGGTCTAGTTTTGTGTGTTATCTCCCTCCTATCCGTGTTCTGCTCTCCGTTCTGCCCTCAGGAATTCCTCAGGCTTTGCTTTCGTTTCTCTACAGTGAAATGGAAACGGGCAGAAAGAGAGCAGAACATTTACAAAAATCATTCAAAAAAACATTCACAGGTTGCCTGGAGGCCGACTTTATGCAGGTGTATCACTTTATGCATGGCAATAATAGGATTCAATTTCGATAGGTTTGTTAATGTTAAAGCTCCCCGGCCTTGAACGAAAAAACACGCCATTTGGTAAAGTTTTGAAAAGTAATAATCGGCCAGCATTTCCATCGTAACATGTCACAAGCGGTTCACTCAAACATAACAGGAAAGATGCGGCCAAACATTGTAATCAACACCCATCCATGCGGCATGCCGGTTTAATTTTGTTATCACAAAACATCCCAACAGTGTTTTGTTCCTTCAGTCAGATAATGGTCTCCGTCTGCCGTACTTTGTCAAGCCCTTTTATCTAAAAACCACTTCCTTGGGCACGCCAAACATGTCTCCCATGAACAAATAATTATGTTGATTTGGGGAATGGTAAAAAAGCCGACAGACGACAACAATCGCTCAGCAAACCCGGATAAAACAACGCACAATCTTTGCTACCGAAAAACAGATATTCCAATCAGCATGTACAATGCTACGTTTCGATTTCTGATATCAATTGTCGATATCATTTTAAGAAATCGGATTTAAAAAGGCAGTCCACATCCTTCCCGCAAAAGTCATGTAGAAATTCATTAGACTGTGGCTGGTAGTACCATTTCCCCTGTATAAAAAGTCCATGGAGGAGAAAAGGCGCCAGGCAAACCAGGCAAAGCCATATAGCGGGTAGATGGAGCGATCTGCCCGTTGCATGCGCTGAATGGGTCCCGCTACCACGGAGCATCAGTGCCGGATGTCACCAACTATAGTTGACTAGGAACAGCGCAGTCTGTGTTTGGTCGATTGGTCAATTAAGAATGTGTTTGGAACTTTCTTGGTTGTGTTCTGGGGGAAAGGTATAGCTTTGATGGGCTCTGCTAACGAGCTCGGAAAATATTTATCCCATTTGATCCGATTTCAAAATGGTCAAACCGTTGAGTTACTGTAACAATATTGCACTAAATTGTACTAAAACGTCCGATTTGAAAGCAACTTGTTTGGAAAAGTGCGAGTATGATTTGCACTTTGAACGTGTTGAAACAGAATTCTAATTATTCTACTCTGAGATTTGACGGTGAGTTGCAATCGATGGAAATGTCCAACCCAGAACCTGAGATGAATCTTTTCCACAACGACGGGCTGGCGTTCGAATGACTACAGCCAAGGCGTCGAAATAAATTAAAAGGGGGAAAATTTGCCTTTTTGTCAAAAATGCTTCTTAACTCCTTCAGCAATTCGTCACTTCTTCATTTAATTCCATCATCTTTAATATATGACAAGTCCCAACGTTTATAGAAACATTCTACGCAAGCAATGACAAACATGTACACGTGTCTAGTCACCGTGAACAGCACTTAAATGTCTGTCTGCGTAAACAAAATCATTTGATTATGACGATTCATTTTGAAAAAAAAATAGGCTGCTACGCCATGTGAAATCACTTCATTTCAAGCGAATTACTGTGCAGAGCATGCAGAAACAACCAATGCCACGCTTCGTTCGGGACATGTTCTGTAATCTTTGATCACATCGCTCAAGTTCTACACATCAGCAGGTTATAAAGATTATATTACGATATCGATCCCGAATTTTGTAAATACAAGTTGGACGATAATGAGAACTTTTGGAGAAGATTTTCATACTGAAACCCAATCCCTGAAGGACAGGCACCCGCCCCAGACAGGGAGACACGGGCCGTGTCTCACATCTCAACAGTCCGGCCGATCGTGTACCCTACCTCCACTTCGGCCTCGGCTTGCCTCTCCAGCTCTTCCCGCTGTATTCTTTGCCTCTCTTCGAACTCCATCAGCCGCCTGTTCTGCTGGGCCAGGGATTGTCTCAAGACGGCGTCCTCCATCTACAATCCAAAACCAGGAGAGGAACAAAATTCAAGATATCGACCAAACTGATTTGACGTCCCTCGCGATTTGATGATGATGGTATCTAAGTTCTATCAGATGGGTATAAGTTGTACACACCTAAAAAAAAAGTCTGGTATAAGGTGTTATTTTGATAGTGCAAAATAATATTAAAAAAAGAAGTGCTAACAGAAAAAAGTCTCATATTTCCTAAGTAGAAGTTACTGCTACAGATTACAAAATCAGATTACTCTGTGAGCGCCAATCAGATGCGACCTGAATGCCGAACAATGAGTGATTTTTACAACTTCAATTAGCAGACGAAAACTGACATATGCTAGCTTGAGTTCTTTAAAAGGGCCAGGTTTGAATCAGCAACTCCACAAGTTTTGTTCGGCGAAACTTGAAAGAACCAAGAATCCAACCTACTCGAGCTCGCAATCTGCCACAATCAAAATGCGCATTTGGGGTATGATTTCATTTCTCTAAAACTCTACTTTATGATTAAATCAATTACCGGTATACAAAAATTATACTTTCTGCATGTCTTACCCTAGCCTTGTCCTCATCAAATTCCACGTAGCCTATGCCATCCAGTCGCTGTAAATCCACCCATGCTTTACAAACCACACAGACGCCGTTGAGGATAAATCTTGTTTTCAGATGGACCTGTAATGACGAGAACAAAATAATCACAGAATTTGTTACAGGCAAAAAAAATCGGTATACAGTTACCCATATACGACTTCAAAGTCATAAAACATGTCCCTGTTCTGGACCAAGACGCTGTTGTACGTTAGTTCTTCTGTTGTAAAGTCCCACAGCCCGTAGCAGCATTTCATCCCGAGTTGGTAAGGTCAGCGCGGACGGCACGCAGGAGTCTCCAGCGAGTGCTGCACCTTTGATGGGCCGTGCGACACGTCGTTTTGCTCGAAGGAAGATTTCTGGTCCGCTTCGTAGTCTTGTGAACCACAGGGGCGATTGTACATCTGCCGATTCCATTGCCGTCAGAACACAAAATAGATGACCACGAAATTATCCGGAATAAAAAAGATATCCAGAACGGTAATCTTTACTGACTTCTCATCCCTTGTGCGTTTTAGGCAATGTTTCTGGTAACTGAACAACCGACTTAAAATATATATATATTGAGAGAGGGTACTATCAAATGTCAAATTGAGACAGGTTAACACGAAACGGAGCTTTAAAAAGGTGAACACTTTGTCAACCAGAAGTCTTTGATTACGTCCAAATTATCTGAAACTGGTGGGTACACTTTTTCGTGATGACGTGACGGCAACCTATACGGCAGGCTCTGTGGTAAAAAAATTCTGATATCCAATTCTATAGTTATAGGTTGTTTGCAAAACCTGTTTATCCATGTTCTTAAACATTTTAGGATTAAGTTGATCATTAATGGAGAACTTAAAGGACAGGTTCTTTGGGTCGAATCTCCTCTCTTTCCTCCCAAAGAGTGACCACTTTGGGCAGTGATCACGTCAGGGCTATTTCGATCCACCGCGGATGGATCGTGGGTGATACGGGCAAGCTTATGTTATCGCCCCCGTGAAGCCCACGGCGGTCGGACGGACACGGGTCCCTCGCGTACGGTCCGCAACTCGGCCGAGGGCCCCGGACAAGAATCGGCTTTTCTCAGAAAACAAGTAATTGAACTGCATGTATTCCATATAATCGAGATGCCTCCGCAGATGTCTTGGCCTCGTGGGCTTGCAAAAATACCTGTTTAATAATCAAATTCTCACAAATGTCACCTAAACAACACGAGGGAAAAACTCTTAGCCGCGCGAAATTCCCCACACGTCGAATTAAAGTGTAGTTCTTTGACTTTTTTTTTGAACGACGAGCTAAACTAACATCTGAATTTCCGTAATGTATGCCACCCATGAAACTGAAAACAAGTGGTTTGTTAGGTGAAAGCTGACTCTTCAAAACAAGGAGATGCATTTCAAAGCGCCGTGCTGAAAAAAGAAGCAGCCGTAATATCTGATGAGCAGCGGTTTCGCTGTGGCTGCTGTCCTCGGTCGGCTTGCCGATGGCTATACGTGTCTACTTTCACCCCCACAACTCCGGCTTCACTCCCTTAACTCACTATCTTTGCTTTTGAAGAAAACGGAGCATGGCTGATCGGCAAACTGGCTTGATCGAATGAACAAATGATTTGCCAGAAGTGTAGTGAAAATACAAGAAATCAAACTCAAATAGTAAGAAAACAGAACACCTTCCGGAGTAGTTTTGAAAAAAAAAGAAGCAGTAATCAAGGACCTTTCACACTGGCCACTGGGAGAATGCTTTACATATTAACGACAAAACCTCAATCATCAATTTCCAAAACAGCCGCTCCTTGTACCGAACAAAAAACCTAGTGAATTCGCAAAGTACCTGCGGTTTGCCACGAGGCAGGCCAGTCGCTCTGCGGAGCACACAGCCGAGGGTGTCGGCGGGCAAAACGCTGCGGTGACGCTGCCGCAGTGTTGCGGTGTCTGCCCGGTCGCCACGTCTTCAACTATTTCGTTGGCTTGCAAGGCCGCCACGACGGTCAAGATAATTGCACGGGAACTAAATGTGCCGATTGTCTGTGTGATATGATGGGGGAAAGGAGGCAGGATGGACGCTCGGAACACTATATTTCCAACATGGTGAGTTGGCACATAGTTAAAATTGTGGTAAGGAGACACCCTCTCGTCTTCCATTTCGAGGAATTGATTTTTGTTCACGCACAAATCGTGTCTTCATGTTAGCCCAGACTGTGACAGTTGAAACTGGAAAGATGTCTTGGACTAATGGTGCTTCGATTCTTCAGTCTTTCGACTGTAATTTTGGTTAAGAATGAAAAGATTGTTCAGCCTAACAAATGGTGTTTGTCAGGTGATCGAACTGTTGACACATATACTTCAGATTACAATGGAGAAAACCGTAGAACAGTGGCTCAAATTTGGTAAAAGAATTTTTACAAATTCTTTCTTTTACACTGAAAATGTTACATGTCAAAGCGAACTTTTTATGAAGGAAAACACTACATTGTCCAAAATGTAACCCACTGATGATAACTGTGTTATACACCGAGACATCAAATAGGACATTATGGTTTACACGTTTGTGCATGCACCAGCCTCAATGGCATATTACGGTACCTCGTCTGTAATCCAAAGTACATGTAGGCCTAGGCCTATAAATATATTTGAATTTCTGCTTTCCTCTCGCCTGGAAATGTACATGAAATTTACGAGACAGAGTACAGGCTCAAGCTAAAAGAATGCCGAAGTATATTGTGATGATTCTGCTTCGCGAAAGTGGCTTGGGGATCATTTCGCTATATGCAGGCGGTTTTCGTGCATTTTTCAAAGTGCTCAAACAAGATGGCGGTCGAGTTGTGGTTGTGTGGTCACTTGTTTGCGTGCCATCTCCTTTCCGATGACTCACATCCAAACCATTCCTTTTGGATAAAGAAATTCAATAAGACCGTTTCCCGCGCAGTTTGCCACCTATTGACAAAGGTGCAGTTTTCCAAGAGGCGTAGATTTCGGAGCCAAAATATTGTGGTTGTATTGTTAAATGTACAAGTTCGGCCCGCATAATTTTACACAGCAAAGGCAAAATGCACGAAGAAGGGTGTGCTATGAGTCAAAGGTTACGGTTCAAGTAACGGTGCGCGCACCGCACAGCCACCAAAACAACGAAATTTCAGTCAAAACAAATCCCGATCGAAATCTGGCAGTCCTAAACATAATACTAGACTCGGAGGCGGCGACGAAGTGTAGCGATGAGCGCAGACGCTCAAAGTGTGGTTATTTTTTTCGTTCGACATGCGAAGAGAATACAATCCTGGACCAAGTGGGGGTAGGGGTTGCTACGCCGTACCAGAGCGGCACGGTAAAACGCTTACTCTGCAAGCAGTACTGGTGGACAGTGTTTATATCAGCTGGATGGCCCACAAGTCATTTTTTGCCTAAAAAATATTGGTATTCTTGCGGGTCGTAAGGAGATACGAAAATGCCATCAAGTTTCCCCCAAATGCCTGTCAGTATATAGGCCTACATGTACACAGCGATAATCATTCCCAAACTGCAGTCGAATTCCCATTCACAAGCCACTTTCAATTCATGAGAAAATCGCCTTACTGGGTTCCTAGTCGTTAAACTTGTGAACTCAAAACAGCGTCTAAGACCTTCAGACAGTCAGCATATTCTAAGGCTGGGCTCCTGTTGTATTAAACAGCAGCGTGATATCAGTTCAAATTTCCTACTTTTTAACATTAATAGCGTGCGAAACTTTCGTACAGGTCTACTTTTTTGTACATAAAAATTCGCTGAAACCGGTTTCGATATAGATCGCACATTTTTTATGGTGTGGGGCTAGGCCTATATAAATTATAAATACACGTATCGTACCGAGCTAACAGAAGTTTTATCGCAGGTATTCCATTCCATGGACCTATACTCAGTTCCTTTAGAACACATATTCCATCAGATGTATTTTGCTTCAGATTCTTAATTGCTGACTAAAGGCAAAAGAGTGAAACCCCACTCTCAAAAAGAGTGAGTCTCCCATAGATCTATACCCCACAAGAGTGAGAACCACTCTAAAATGAGTAAAAAAATTCTAGAATGAGTGGATATTACTCCAAAAGAGAAAAATGTCCACTCTGCCAAGGAGCATATTGTCTTTTATGGAGTGGTTTTTCACTCCTTTGCTTCGGAGAGTGCAGCACAAGTAATACAGGACACAATGGCAAAACTGCGAAAAGGTTCAATAACAGCCATCAATTTAGACATTTTAAAACGCGTAAATACCCCCTGATTTATACATTAAGACACAATGCCTTACGTACAGAGAACAACATCTTGACCGTCGATACCAAACTGCGCTCTAACCACATCACACCAGGGGAGGTAGCCGGGCCACACGGAGCTGGCAAGCCATCGTCCAGGTACAGTAACCTATATCGGAGGCGCGTGGACCGGGTCTGTGGATTCGGGAGTAACTGCAGAGTGTTCCCGGAGTCCGCGGATGGTTTTTACCATGTCGATTGCAAATTTATGGGCCCTGGAACGACAGGGTTTTCACTCGATAGTTCGTCACACCGTCACTGACGGCAATTTAGAGCATCTTGTCCAGTTCTGTTTTCGGACTACATTGTATATACCTTGCCAGTAAGACACAATGCTTGAGAATATTTTTGGCAAAATGTAACCAGCGAGTTGTATATTCTATTATGTCAACTATTAATGTGAAATCGTCAGCATTGAAAGGTAATCTTCTCAAGCTTCACCAGGGAAGGTAGTTTAGTTAGGGATTAAAGCTAATGCTGTTGTATATAGTGTATAGATTGTAACACATAATGTGACGTTACGGTACATTAAGTGCGACCAGGCTGAACGTGGGATCAAAGGGGCCTTCCAGCGCATATCTAAGCTACAGGGAACGAATAGTTAAGCAAGACCTGTGATTTCAGTTTTAATGGGGAAGTTTTAAAACCTTCATCGGGAAATCAAGGTTAATAATGCTGCCACTGCCACGCCTGGGACAAAAATAGATCAACAGGGTTCACGGCACGCAGCATGCGACACCTCAGTCTTCGTACGTGCGGGAATTCAATTCTATAACACCCAAGGGCCAGCAATTATCGCTGGCTTTTGTTCTGGAGAGGC